ATTAAAAAAAACATAATTATTAATTAGTAACCAATAACCTTTTAACAAAAATTACTGCAACTCTCTAAATAATAATAATATTCAAAGATTACAAATCAAAAATTCGTTATCTGATTTATCAATTTATTTACAACTTAATAAACTTGTAATTCAGGGGGAACTTCCATATATGGAATTTATAGAACAAAATAAAATAACGAAACTATAACATTATATTATGAACCTTAAATTTTAATATAATCCGTTTTTAAATAATTTAAAATATTTAATCCCTGAATAATTATTTAATTATTTCCATTTTTTTTTAGTCGAAAATTAAGTTAATCAATGAAATCAATTTTGAAACGGAATGTATTTGTAACGAAGTACCAAAAAAAATTTTTAATAATCAAATTAAAAAAAAAAAAATAGAAACATATCACGAAATTAAATCAATCAATAATAAACTAATTCAATGCCATAAATCATTGGTTATTTACGATTAAGATCAACTCCAATATTTTAGGTGATCAATATATGATTGAATAATGATAACTGATAACTTTCGATAATTCATGATTTTATTTGCATATATAATTATTAATCAAATGACAATATATTGACTTTTTCGTTAAACTTAAAACTTTTATCATATGCTTATGATGTTTCAAAGCATCATGTCCTTTGTTCAAGATTTTCATTTTAGTAATTCGTTAATTCGTGGAATAACCAAAAAGATCGCTGATCGACGTGTTTTTTATCAATAAAAATAGATAATTGGTGGGAAATTTCACCCTGCTCAGGATCTGCAAAGGATCCAAATATGGTTTAGTAAGAAAATAATTATTAGCCACGTAATTTTTTGTTTTTAAAATTAAAAAATTAAAATATTGTATGTAATATATTTATATAATTTATTTATTTTTATAAATTAATAAATTATATTCATTTATATGCCCTTGAATAAATTTTACGATAATTCATTCATTCATTATACAGTACACTTTAAAATATTTTACTTTTTTTACGTTAATTATTTCCGTATCTTCGTATCCATCCGTATCATTCAAACAATAATTATGTATGAAATTAAACAGACGCATTATCTTTCTTTGAAAGGAACATAGAGGCGTTATTGTTTCGATTAATTTAGATTACAGGCTCATATTTGTTTTTCTTAGTTGCTTCATCTCATGATTTACACAAAGATGTTGAAATGGCGGGATATTTATTTATTTATTTATAATATTTATAATTTATTTCTGTGATTTCCGCGATTTTCCGCGATTTAATCATTTTCATGTATGTTATTACGCGTTGTTCTTCCTTTTAATTAAGTTTTTTGATTTGTAATATGTATCCTTATTCGTTTCATTTGACTTTTATGGTTCGTATGATGCTGCGCAAGGTTTAAAAATTAAATATAAAAGCAACCATAAAACAGTCCCGGTCAAAATAAGAATATGAAGATATTCTAAAAAAACTTAAGATATTAATTATGATCTTATTTCATTAACAAAATTAACAAAAATAAAATTATCAAAAAAAAAAAGAATTATTCCCCCAAAACCATCAAAACCGCCATCAAAACCGCCATCAAAACCGTTCTCAAAAACCGTTTTCCCCCGAAAAAAAAAGAAAAAAGAAAAATAAAATTATGGTTAGTTAAGATGAATTAATTAAAATAAAATGAATTTATCCAAATTACAACTCTCAACTAATTTAATCTTTTTGCAATCTATAGCATACGAAGTAATCTACTTCAATTCTTTTCCGTTTTCGTTTCACTTTTTTAAAAATTTTATCCAAAAATAAGCTTATAAATTGTCTCCTTTTTTATATGTAAAAATAAATTATAAATCAAAAAATATGATTTTATTATAAAATGTAATGAATGTGACGTTCTTATCTATTGCTGTACCATTATCTTGATTACGAAATTAAGATTAGGTACAATATCTGCTGCGCCATCTTAAAAACTAAATATATATTAAAAATCAAACCGATGATTATCCTACACGAAAATTTTAAATATAATTTCATCATCGACATACTCAAAAAACTAATATTCCCTTATTCACGTTAAAACCTGAAAATACAAACCTAATCATCGAATTTTCTTGAAATTTTGTAGCAACAATATCTGATTCTTAAATCCATTTACCATCAATAGTCAATGCGAAAAATATAAATGTAAAAATTAATTCTTATCAAAATAGTTTCGACCTTTGCAACAACCTTTTAGAAAATAAAAAAATTCAGCTAATAAAAATAGATGTGTAAGAAGGGTTTCTTTTTAATTTTCTTTCTATTTTAGAATTCAAAAGTTGTGGCGTAAGAAATTACAAGAACATTTCTTCAAATACTTTCGAAGTTATATCTAAGAATTTGATGCTATGGCGTGTTTGTGTGTCGTATGGTCACTAATATATTCAATATTAAATTAAGCGAAACTTAAATTTTAAAATTCTACGTAATATTACTCAGTACTTTTTTAAAAAAAAAGATTTTAAATTACACTATGATTATCTCTACCTATCTATGGTAGTGATTTTTGTTATTATGAAAAAATAGGTTAAATAAAATAAATCGTGGTTAATCGGAATCGGTTAATCGAATTCTATCGAATTCTTAAATATAAAATGTATAAATTGTTGTCAGAATTATTTGCTACTATCATATCATATTCTTCTTTGTTTTAAAATATTCTTTTTTTTCCTCCAACAATTCTTGCCATCGCAAAATCTTAGTGTAATATATTTCAGGAAATGTCAAGTCTACCGACCTGTCATATTATTAGTTCATTTGTCGTTGTACTATCTACATCATTTATTGTTAAATTTACAAAAAACTGAATTCAGGAACAATAAATAAACATATAAAAAGTTTAATTGATTAGGAACTGAACATGATTATTTATCTTATTTTATATAACAGGGTATGCTTCATTTTTTTATTTGTGTAAAACCTTGGATAATTAGTTATTAGGCATAAAAATATTTACTTTATATCATCAGACTTTTCAATTGTTTACTTTATTCTTTAATCTATATTGTAATACAAAGAGATTGCGAAATAAAATTGGAGAGAAAAATTATTTCACAACTAAGAATTCTTGAATTTTACCTTGTTAAAGGCTTTTCTGCTTCTGAGAAAAACAAAAAGCCGACCATATGATAATGTCAATGCGTGAAATCGTGAATATCAACAAGAAATAAAAAAAGGCTGAGAATTCTTTGAAAGGATTTAAAATTTGCTGCTTATGGACTTTTCGTGACCGGGTAATTTATTTTCCCGGATATCCGGATGATTAAATATCCGGATTTTGACAGGAATCCGGATAAATTTAAATCCACCATTATAGTAGTGGCAGTAGTGGCGCAACAATTACGAATTACGATATCCCGGATAACGGTTCGACAGTAATGGACTCAATTTTTTATTAAAATTGTACATAATTACTAATTTATGATTTAAATCTATTGAATTTTTTATTAATATTATTTTTACGTTTAGTACTATACTTCGTTTTTCTAAGTCATCTTTTGAGCGTCACGCGCGTCACGTCACGTCTAATGAATTTTACTAATTCACGACTTCACGCAATTTGTTATTACAAAGTATTATAGTATTACACGTGGGTTAAAGTCAGTTACGTATTAAGTCAGTTACGTGCTTTTCCTTTTACAGTTACGAATCAAAACAATCTAAAATTCTTCACAACAAAACACGATAATTCCAACAAGATACGAAACACGATCCTAATTCAGTAACTTGCAATTTTGTATATAAATAGAGGTCTTGGTCTAAACAGTGGTTAATTTTTAAACTTAAAAACTTCATCGAAAATTTTTTTTCACAACTACCCGCACAACAATACATTTTTTTCACAACTATACAAAGTTGTATAGAAGAATCATTTTGCTCAAGATTTTCTTGAGTACGTCGTGAACGTTTTGATGCGCGCTATTTTCAAGGTAATTTATGATAAAAAATTATTTATTATCAATGACTTCATTTGTAATTTGATAAAAAACTATTTACTAAAAGATCAATGACTTCTTCTTCTTTTGTTAGAATTGCTCGGGTCTACAAAAAAAAAATATCGGCGCTCCTCCTACTCATGAGACAAATCTTTCTATACTTGACTTGGAATTAGCCCGATAGCTTTTCAGCTTTATGGGTTACAAGTACAGATAGATTTGATCGTTAAGAAAATTAAGAAAAAATCGCCTATCGTTGCTCCGGTTAATAAAATGGTGTGGGAAGAGGGAGAAAATCAGAGAGAAAGAAACCGGAAGGCACAATTAAAAAAAGATTTAATGTTGGCGGGCGGAACGCGCGCCTATAAAAATCTTACGGTCACGTGAGATTGCAAAGATAAAATCTTAACGTAAAAAGAATTCGCCAAAACCTACTACATTGAATAATAACAAAATTTCTTTAACTCTTGGAGTAGGCCTGATGAGAAGCTTCATATAAATGTTGAAACTAAAGAACTGCCAACAAGATCTAGCTTCCATGTTTTAGAAGGACTGTCTTGTTTTGATTCATCAATAAGCGCATTCCGCTCGCCTACATTATATTTTCTTTTAATATATCTTCTTTTAATTGTATTTTCTGTTTTCTTTCCCTCTGATTTTCTTCATCTTCCTCGATTTTTTTTTTCTCAAGATGAAAATGATTTTTTTTTAATTTTACTTGTATTTTTTATTTTAAACTCTTTTTTTTTGAAATAAATTTATCATTAGATCACATTATTATATGAATAAAGTCTGACTTCGGTGAATTGATATTATCAGAGTTTAAATTACTATACTTGACATGAATTTTGTTGAACCTGTATAAGATCTTTAGAAGAAGCAAATATTAACAAAAAAAAAATATGAATTCAGAATTTTGAAAAATAAATCTACTATAAAACGTTTGCAATCACCTTTAATTAATCACCTTTAATTATTTGTATTATCCATAAGAAAAAGTTGGTTCAGCCAATTTCCACTAATAACCTTTTTTTTTGTAACACAGATATTCTGATAATCTTTTTCAAAACCAAAAATAAAAATTTGGTTATTAAAAAAAATGAGAAAGATTTAAATCGTTGTATTCCATTTAATCTAGTTTCTTCTGCTATTCGCTCTTTCAACCTTTTACGCTCAAGTCTGTTTAAACTAAAGTGTTTGAAAAGAATATCATCAAGAGAACGAACACGGAAAATTGCTACAAATGACAAGCCAGCCGCAAATTCCTTCTTCCCAAGGTCTATTACTGGTTTTGATAAAGTCAGACCTTGCAATTTACGAGCTGTGATGGCCCACGCAAGAGAAAGTGGAAATTGAACTTTTCCCACATACGTCTTATATCGTAGAACAATAGGCTATATTCCTAAGAATTGGACCGTTATACTGTCAAATGAAACTCAGGTAAAGATTCTTTATATAAAATATCTGTTATTGTCCCCATTATCCCATTTATAAGACCAGCAGCATTCTGCATAATAATATTTCGACTTTAATTTCTTTTGCAGTTTCGGAATCGGCCTTAGAAGCTTCAGATCCACCCGTATGTACCGTTGGCAACGGGTTGATTTAATAATCGAAGTTTATTCAAATTTATTTTATCCACTTCTTCCCATGTTGTTAGAACATTGATGGCATCTGAAGAAGTTTTTCTCTCTGATTCAGGAATATTTCTGGAATTCGGATCGTGTAGACCTTCAATCACGTAAGTGATATGACAGGTTTCTGAATGTTGTTGTTTATCCGAGTTATCTTTGCATAGCCTCAAGTTTATAAATTTCTTGAAGTGACTATAGGTACTACGACCATATGATCTCGAGAGTCCTGAGAATACATGGGAACATCACATGCCGGAGGAAGCTGTCCAAAGTCACCAATAAGAATTATGGATCGGCTACCAAAGGGAATATTGTAGTGATCCGGAAATGTTTGCCACAGCCGTAAATCAATTATAGCAAGAAAACGACATCCTACCATACTCTTTTCATCGATTATAAATATTCTATATATTTTAGTTTTCTTCAAAGATTCTCAATGTTTACCCGCATATTGGAACAGAAAGTGACGAATGTATAGTGCTGCCTTCAACGTTAAAAGCCGCAACACCTGTTGGAGCAACTACCATATTGTTCTCATGTAAGTTATGTTTCTTTGCAATCTCATATAACCTTCCCCGAATAGCATTAATAAGGTAAGATTTGCCGGTTCCAGCAGTACCCATGGCAATAATTCTTAAAGGTGCTATGGATTCTACTCTTTCACGTATGTTTTTCCTTTGTTTCTCATTTAGAGTTCTAAGGTCGATACTAGTTGTTACCAATTGCCTGCTGAATGAAGCTTTCTGCCTCTTCAATTTCAGGGTATCGTAGCAAACTTTCGTTGTGATTTCTATCAATATCACGCGCACTAAAGTCATCTAAGCTACGCGTCTGTCTATTTGCCATCATTTCAGCCAGTAACATCCAGCCAGTTCGAAGTTCATACGCTTCCTGTGGCGTGTCGTCGTCTTCTTCATCAGAATCGTTACCTTCAACTTCTTGAATATCATCCAATTAAATCATTAGGGTCATCATTGATCTACAAGATGTTGGTTATATAAATCAATCCATGAAAGAGTGTGATTCCCTGTGAGGCTAAGAAGGTCTCTATAATGGACGTGGCTAAATACGTACAATGTTTTCACCAGAGCATTCTACCCAGTTGCCTTTTACTAATTTATATTGCTGATCCAATTTAAACAATGAAAGTTCCTCAAGTTCGGCAGGTCTACTACAATATCTTTGTAGAGGTGAGGCATCTGGTTACATAATTCCATTGTTCTCATTATTTGGAACATTTTCATTACTATCACGAAGCTGTTGATTCGCCTCTTTGTTAAGTTTTAGACTGACAAAATTTCGGCTACTATGATAGAGCGGTAATTGAAGATGATGACAAGTTTCTTATCATGTTCTCCGACTGTGTAAATGAGCAACTTTTGGAATGTTTTAACAGCTGGATCATTGGGGTATCATTACGATGAGCTTTGTCCAACACTTCTGAGAAGGCTAAGGACCCTAAGCACCGTGGTTCTGCTTCACTAGCATACTCGAAACATACTGCTTGGTAAGGATGGGTATCAAATCAACATTTGCCCTCCATCCCTGTAATTGAATACGATCATGTGGATTTATAAGTGGATCATTTCTGGCAGTTGTTAGTTCTAGGTAAGTAAGGTAACCATTATTATCATTAAAGTCTTCAGAGTGCTTTTGGCATTGGTGGTGATCAGAAGGAAGTGCATTCAGGTCGGGATTGATTGTTGTAACTAAAGAATCTTATTTCATCATTATTTTTCATGTTTTCCCAATCGATTCCTGATGCTTCTTTTCGCTTGGCAATGCCATGAACATGAACATTACCATGATGTTGCCACTCAAATCGATACCACCAGTCAACTAATCCCCATTTAGGAATTAACACTTTCTCAAAAAAAACTTTAAATCGCTTTTCAAAGAACTATGGAGATTATTTATGAGATCTTTACGCCGGCGTCTGGCAGCTTCCTGGACTGTTTCTGTGTTTACAGAATTTTTTCCATTAGGCATTAGATTATGTAAGTCTTGCCAATGCATATCTGCGCTAAATGTAAAGAAAATCATTCTCTGAGACCTTATCTAATTCAGCTCTACGACGTATCCAATATTGAATAGTACCACGCAATCCTACATCATATACTTTGCTATGTGAGTATCGTTTTGCATTAAATCCAGTATCGTCTACTGTGAGTTGCCCTTTCTCTAAATTTTGTCGAACAAATACGCGACCTTCTGATGATGCTCTGCGCCTCATTAATGAATTTAGGCAAAGTAACGCCACCGTCGATGACGAGCAAATCGGCCATCTTTATAGACTTAAAAGATGTTTAAAGTATTCTGACGGTTTTATTTCTTTTATCCGGGGTTCATGATGACAGGGCAATTAATAAAATTCTCAATTGAACGCAACATGATCATGAGAGAATTGACTGGCCAAATGACACCGAACAATAAGTAAATCCAACGATTATGGATCATGTAGAAGTCGTGCCGCGAACTCCTGCACATCTTTGTGGAAAATTAATAATATTTGCACAATATGCATACTCTCCTCCAGGAAGGGCGTATACCGAAATGACAGGGAATACTTGCCCGACCAGTATTTCTTCTACGTCAGTTAAATCTCAGAAAAATAAAGTATTTAATTATATAGAAAATATTCTAATTAATACCTACCTGGATCCATATTGTTTTAGGATCATTCTCAAGCATGACAACGACGGCACTCCTTTCCAATGAGCATAATAGAAGGGAATCGCTCATTGCACGTTTCATTGAAATTGTTCATTGTATTGCGAAATTGGCGCAAAAGCTTCTGATCAGCAGTTTGAATGCATATTTTTAACGCATACTTGACTTCTGTTGTGAAAGCCTCGCTGCAATTTGATTTGGAGTTTCTTTTGCTCTTCTAAGCGAATATTTCTTACGCGCAAGAGCGCGCCGAGCCTTCTCTTCAACTACCGAACGTACTTCCCGCTCCTCGTTGGTCTCTTCTCGCTTTACGCTTCCTTTCTCGATCACGTGCTAAGCGTTCTTCGCGCTCCTCATTAGTCTCTTCAGCAATTTTCCATCTTCTCCTTTCCCGATCATGTGACAAATGAGCTTCTTCCATATCAATTAACATATTCTTTATTCTTGAGATGATTTGGAAAAGGAGCTATGCGCAAATACACTTACACAATTATTGTATATCCTCATTAAAGTGATCTTACCACATTGTAATCCGATGCAATGCAAGAATAAAGAAAAAAAAAATTTTTGATAAATCGCCAATTATAATTATTACGTGGTTTACATATATATATATTATCGTTTAAATAAGGGGCGTTCCTTTTCGATCGTTGGGCGTACTTTGGACAATTCAATATCCTTTTTGATTTTACTATTGCACGTTGCAAATATATAGTTATTGATTAGGCGACGTTCTTTTTTACTTATAACGTGTATTTTATGTTATAAAATTTAATATTTATATTAACCGTTTTTAATTAACAACAATTTTTCGTAATTCCATAATTAATAGTTTTATATATTAAAAGTACTGACCAAAAAAATATTACTACTACCAATACTACTTACTACCTTGAACATATCCTTAAAAATAATAATATGACTTATTTTATAGTATTATGCAGTATTATTAGTAAAAACACTGTTATTACTGTATTGTAAGAACTATTTAACTAAGATTATAATCTTATTAATTATAGATTATAGAAATTTACCAGATTAATAGTAGGATTTGAAAAATAAAATACCTTTTTCATTAATTTAAAAGTTTTTACTATATTTTGTAAATATATTTATAATTCTTTTAAAGGTATTACTAATCAAATAAACCAGTGTATTAGTGAATTCATGGATTCTTCAGACAGTTTAGCAAAGTTCAGTTCTTATTGTATAATAAATATAAGTTGAACCTTTTAATAATAATAATCTTAATAAAGGCTTTTTTGATATACTCCAAAAGTAAAATTAATTTTATATTACTGAGTTGCTATTCTTTAATTTTAATATAAAAAATATTTGTAAAGTTGTTCATTTTACTATGAAAATTAATAATATATGCAAAGTACCTAAAACAATAATTATATATTTTATTTTCAGCTTTTTTGATTAATTATTTATATTCTATATTTGATAACCCTGATGCTGAGCTGAGATATTGTTATATTCTAACAAAATTGAAAACTATATAGTATTTTTATAATATTAATATCAATATAAATATTATTATTAATAGTCATTATAAAATTATAACAATATTATATATCAAACCTGTATTTCCTTTCTTTTGAAAAACAACATATTGAATACTTTTTTTAAAATAAATATAAATTTTTTATTTATTATTTAATAGAATTTTAATATAATAACAATATCATTAAATTAGTAAATATTAAAGTTGAGACTTAAAAAGCTTTTTGTCAAAATTAGGTTTGAAATTTCAAACCATTTAAAATTCTAAAAAAAACATAGAATTTCTACATTTTAATAATTGCAAAGGAAACTTTAGAATTAATTATAACAAATCAAGTAATGTTTAGCATTTAATATAAATTCCTTATAATTACTTTTTTTTAAAGAAATTTATCCTTACTCTAGAAAACAGTATTTTATTAAAAAATTGAACCGTGCACATACAACGTATATTGTCACCTGACCTGCAGATGTATCCGGTAGTGAACGCCACATCACCAATTCGGCATTACACCAGTGTAATGATACTGGTGTAATACTATTTTCATATTCATATGAAACTTCGAACAACAATTTGGTTAACATATTTCACCCGCCTCCTTAATGCGCCCACATGTATAATCCGGTAAGCAAGTTATTATAATAATACGAAATTTGTAACTTTTCCCTGTCACTTGTGAATCCTTATGCTATGCTAAACATAGTATTCATTTGGAATATCTTTAGGAATATTTTGATTTTCTAAGAACTAAAATGGCAAATTATTTGCTCTGAGAAAATTATAATTTATTATATTTTTATAACGTAATTATATAGCCAATGAATGAATTATGTGTACAATAAGTAAATGCGGAAAGAGTGAAATTAATCAAATAATATACATTTTTGTAAAGAAAAATAGTAAATAGATTTAGAAATACAAAATAAATAAGTGAAGAATGAATACATATTAATTTTTTCCGGTTTTTTTTAATTTAAAAAGAAAAATTGTTCGTGGCATGAAATTATGAGTTATAAATTATAAACTAATGAATGACAATGTCTGGATTTTCATCAAGTGTTGACGTTTCCGTCACTGAAGTTGTGCCACTAAAATTACTACTTCTTCGATCTTGTGAAAGATCTTTTTCTAGATCATTATCTTTAGATGATTTTGAAGGACCATCTATTATTTCTTCCATGTCCTCATCATCATATTCATTATCCTCTTCATTATCCTCATATTCTTCTTCTTCAACATTATCTCTGCGAAGACGCTTCCCTACTACAACATTTGCCCACTCAAAGAATGACAATCTTTTCATTGACACAACTGCTATTTTGTCGTTTTCAATTTGACTGTGAGTTGAACTGGTTTGAGCATGTTGTGAATATTTAGGGAGATCACTATTGTTATAACGAGGACTATGTATACTTTTGAGTGATTTCTCGGTTCCTGCCGAGCCACCACTTGATCCCTTTCTTTTATCTTTTCCTTCAATGACTCGTACAATCTCAGCATCAACAGTAATTACATAAGATAATGTAATAGTTACTATGATTTTTGCGGTAAATGACGGTACTTCGGATTCGATTTGTGCAATATCCAAAATAGCTTGAAAATGAAAGATAAAAGATACGAATAATCGCAAGAAATTCCAATACATAACGGCTGTGAATAACGATCGTTTGCTTTTAATATTTGTTGTTGATACTTGAGCAGCGTTCTTATTAGCGCTGATTAATATTTGAACTAAGCGGAAAGTTACAAACAAATCGATAAGAAATTCCGTGGCAATCCCACCAACAGCATAAGGTAGAGGAGTAGGAGTGATAATATTACAAATAGATGCATCAACCTCAGGAACGTAATCGATATGTGTCCGTTGAAAAATAAGATATGGAATCTGAAAATTAATAGTGGATTATTATTACTTTTTTTTTTTTTACAAAAAGAATAAATTATTAACAAAAAACTTACCGCCAGTGCAACTTTAATTGTAAATAAAATAATACTTATCCATTTATCTGACCCATAATTATGTACGTTGCGAATCTGCCTCAAACGCCACAACAAGAACGCCGATAGTGATAATCTCACTATGACGTTCCCAACCATAGTGACTTCTTGAAGGGCAAAACACATAGGGTACGTAGGTAATTTTGGTGTCATATAAAGACCTAAAATACCTACATTACGCACAATAAAACCAAAATTGAAAATAATTTTAAGCATATTCGAAACGTTTGTTTGGCGAGCTTTGTACAGTATCATTGAAACGAACATATTATGAAAAGATAACTATAAGAAAGAATAAAATATTTAATATTTAAAGAAATTATTTTATAATTGATTTATCAAATAAAAGAATTACCATGATCATTGCACCCAGCAAAAATCCTGCCCATGTTTGAATCTGAATATAAATCAACATTTTGTATAGAACTTTCTTGAAATTTTTTTTTAAAAAAACTCTAAAATACTTGTATATAGAGCGGGTTCAAAAATTGAACATAAAAATCTCAAAAGTTCTTATATTTATAAATATTTATAATATAAAAAAAAGAACAAAAAAAGTAGATAAGAAAATTACTACAATATTTACAGAACAATACTAACGAAATCAAAAACTATAAATTATATTGTTAACCCTGTTAACCCCATATATTGTACTGTAAAACGTTACGTTTGAGTATTTTTAAATATTAAATCAATATATAAACAATAGGTGGAACCGTGAAACGTTTCAGATTTCCTTATATTATTATTATGGTTATTGTGTCACATTTTGTTCTTAAAAAAAACTAAATTTAGAGAACATAAAGTTTGACCCATGCGGCGATCACTAATTGTATTACTAATTTAGTTAATATCAATATATTATATATATTATTCAATGTTTCGGTTTGAAATTCTGTTAAGAAATTAAAAATAAATTTATATGATTTTTATATGGTTTAAATTTCGTAACACACAATTTCTGTTTTTAATAAGGATTCCTTCTTTTGTATTGATTAAATCTTAGCCTTGACCAAAAAAGTCGTGTTAGAAATTATTATGTGATGCCTACTATTTCTTATTATAGCATAATTATTTTTTCAATTACATTGTTTTTATTTAATGGTACAAATGAACATAAAATCACAGGTTTCTTGTAGAACATTAATAAATGAAATCATTATTCTTTGATATCTTGATATGACGTTCCTTCAAATTCGGAAATGCCGATAAAGATTAAATTTGTAATACAAAACTTTGTTACTAAGAATTTCCAGATCTCTTGTTACACAGGTGAAATGTTATATTATATAATGTATCTCCAAAAATGACAAAATAAATTACGAATTCTCAATTCCAAATGTTAGAATTAGATATTGTTCCAATGGATTCCCTTCTATATTAACCTTTTTGGCTTGTAATCTGTTACGAGTAGCTTGGATAATCTTTTGTAATAATTTCCCTAAATCTGAAAACATTAAAACCATATTGTGTGCTTAAAACATGTTTGTAGACAGCATAACAGTTTGAATACTTCAATTTTTTATTTTTATGGTCAATTTCTTATAAGAAATTTATATTATATAGTTTGCATAATAGAACTCATACAATATATCATACATATATTTTAATTTGCATAACTGATATCTTTTTAATAAGAATACTGGTAATACTACTAATTAACAATAAAATTCTGACAAATTTAGCAGTATAATATTGATATAATATCATTTCAATATTAATTCAGTATTAAAATATTTATACCAATTAATATATCTCATTAAATTCAATATTTTTTAATTTGTAAATTGTAATCTAATTAATTTTAAATTAACAGATAAAGAATACATTTATTTAAATATTATATATATAATAAATAAAAAAAAAATATTATCCCTTAAACTGTTTCGCAGCCATATTATTTTACAAATTTTGCATTTTATATAAAGAAATTTATTTATTAAATAATAACAATCACTGGACAAATTCAATTTCATATAGATCAAATTTTTTTTTGTTAATAATTGACATTATTTACTAATAAAATTTACTATGAAATTTACTATTAAAATGAGTAATTGAATATAATCAAATTTTGTAAAACAAAACTGCTAAAAATAAATAAATTATCTAAATCTTATGTTTATTTTTAATGTTTTTTCCTACACCTTAAGAGCCTTTCCAAGAATAAAATAATCTTAAAAAAATGTAAAGAAAATTTTTTTTATTCAAAAAAATCTTAGAGTTAAAGTTGATAAACAATTTAGTAATTACCAATTATAAACTTTAAAATAATGTCAAATAATACTACAAAAGCAAGTATAAACATATTAGAAATGTAAAAATTAATTTGATATTAATGAAGAGAATACAAATACTATACAGATAAGCTTATTTTTAAAATAAGAGCCTTTTAATTGAACAAAGCTGATATAAAATATAATGAAAATTCTGAATATGAAATGAGTATAATAATTTTGAAAGTGAAAATGAAGAAAATTTCAATAATAATAATAAGAGTAATATTAGAGTTGAGCAAAGCAAACCGAAAAATTTAATACCATATACAGTATGTTAATTAACAAAATAAATAGTAAAATTCAAAGATATAAAAATTTAGAAAGTTTCTGTACATTGTAGCAACTTGTTGAAATATAGCAAATAAATAATAATGAAGTTTTAGAAGCAAATGAGTTTTAGAAAATCTAGAAATATGCAATTATTATTTTAATTATGACCAAAAATTGCATGATTTAAAAACTAAAAAATAAAATCTATAGCAGACAGTATTTTATACAAATATAAAAGGATCCCATTTACTTCTAATAAAGGTCTCTTCCCAAAATTTCAAATTTCATATGGGCTGATTCTTGGAATCTAATTTTTTTACACAAAAATAATTTTATTAAAGCAAATATAAATTATCATTTTTGGCAGATGTTAAAAAAGATGACCTTTTATATAAGAATAATAAATTTATACTAGATAATGCAAAAAAAACTAATTAATTATATAATTTTTAATTTTTTTTTAATATAAGATATCATTAAAATTTAAAATATCAAATATAATTCTCATGATAAAATCATTGATAATTCTTCGTAGAAATAAGCTATACAAATAAATTTACACTTATTTGAAAGAGAAAATCGAGATCTATCTAATGAATCTAAAATCAAGTGAATTGAATCTTGTTCAGTAATTACATTCAGTATATTTATTGAATTTTATCTAAATTTGATCATTAATTACTTCATATGTAGTGATTCAATTTGAATGATCTTTGTTCCCTAAGGTGATGCCAACTTTTATCTTTAAAATAAATTTAAAATAATTCGTTTAATATATGTAGATATTCAGGAATCATCAATTATATTATTAATATAAAATTTTATAAGTTTGATAAAATCTAATTTAAAAAAATTTATTAAATACCTGTAGATATAAACTACATGAATGAAATTATATTCATTTGAAAGAGAAAATTGAGGTCTATCTAATAAGCCTAAAATCAAATGAATTTAATTACTGGATTGTGAATAATTATGTCCAATATATTTATTTTTTATTTTTAAATTTGATTTGACTTTGATCATTAATTACACCTCATCCAGTGATCCAATTTTCCTGATCTTTGATTCCTATGATAGAGCAAATTCTCAGCTTTCAAATGAATGTAAAATGATGATATTAGCATATCTCCAAGAATAATAATGCATGATTTTGTCACCTGCATAAAGTCCGATCTGAAAATTTTATTTCTTACCAAAAAATGCTTTTATAAGAGAATCCCAAATTCTTTTACTTTATTTAAAAGATTTTATTTGCCATTTAAGGATTTTAGTAGAATAAATCTAATAAAATAATTTTAAAAGATAAAAAACAAATATATAATTAGTTATTTTGAAAAAAAAAATAACTTATTATTCATTTTACAACTATTTTACATCATAATTATTTTTTATTTACATGTATTTTTTACAAAGAAAAAACAATAAATTAAATCTAAAAATTATGAAAAAATATGTCTTATCTATGTATATAAAATATTAAGTTTTTCTTTTACTTATCACTTAAAAATAACTGCTATATATGCTTATAAATTTTTTTGTCATATTTAATAAAAGTGAATAGAAAAATGATGGAAAAGTGATGGGCAGTGATGGGAAAAAAGAAGTGGTTATTACCGTTATTTTTGAATATTAATTAAAAAAATTTTTTATTTTTTATTAAATCTGAGTTACATAAATATGCAAAACATATTTAATTTAAATTTGTGTAATGTTAATTTTACTAAAATATTAAATTTTTATAAAAATCTTAATTTAGACTAATTCCAAAAATTGGCACATATGTACTAGTAATTTTATCAACCTCTTTTGTCTTATAATTTTATCTTATATATAGAGTAATATTTTAAAATTATATTAAATTTTACTTTAAATTTCTAGTGACCTTAAAATTTTTATATAATATTTTAAAAGTATTTATAAATATTAAAATAAATTATTAATCAATTAGATTTATCACTAATATAAAAAAATTAGTGTAATTATTTGTAAATATATAGTAATTTTTAAAAAATGATATTTTTTTTAAAAAAGTAAAATATATTTAAGGGAGCTTACACATATTATATAATTATCAAAGAGAGGGAAGGGTAACCAAAATCTTACGTTATACTTAATAAAATATATAATTTATAAATATTATAATTTGATTGGTTATTAAATCTGACAAGGAAAGGGGGAAGTAAGTTTATATTAAACTGAATATTACGTAATATATGTAACTTCCCTTATGTACTTTACTAGATATTATTAATATATCAGATATCTTATTCACAATATAATTTAATTGGCCTAAATGATATATTATTTCTTTATAGGAAATATGATATGTAACTGTTAAGTAAATATTCTTTTATATAAGTATATATATAAATGAATTACAGTCAAACCTTTATATAACGATATGTTGGGACATATATGAAATTTTTAGAAAATATCATTATATCAAAGTTATATCGATATTTATATGTCCTCACATATAGTGGGAAAATAAAATTTTATCGGTATATTAAGTTTTTAATAGTATATCAGTATATCGAATATCGGTATATCGAGGTTAGACTGTAATATATATGAAAGATTATTTACTCCTACATTAATATGAATATGACATTCTCCAATTTTTTAATATTTATTAACTATTATTTTGCCAAAATACAACTTATTATTAGAAAGGATAATAATGAAATTTTTATCTTCTAAAGGTAATTTTCTATTATATTTGCTAATTCTATTTTATGAATTATTAACAAATAAATAATATTTAAGTTATTAATATTAAATTATATAATAAAAATGCAAATAATTGTAAAATACCTAGCATATTTTTTGGAATTCTAATATCTGATGCTTTTTTTTCATATTCCATCTATTAAATTGAGATTTATTTACTACAAATTCATTACTTTCTTGCAAAATTTAAATAAGATCATTAGCAACATTTCTTTCAATTATTTTACATGAATTGTTACTTATATTAATATTCTTATTTCTAAGTTTACATATTATGTTTTCTACCTGTAAAAATGCATTGTGAGACTGTCTAATCTTAATTAAATTTAAAACTATTAAATTTCCATTTATATCAAATAAAGTATCTTTTAACTCCTGTGAATTATTATTATTTATATTATTAGGAAAAGAATGATTATTTGATAATATATATTAAATTCCTTTACTGTCATTTGATTTGATATTTCACTATAAAAAATTTATCATTTTTTTCATCAGAATTATCATAATCTTCATTATTAATATCTAAACCTTTGATACTTCTATTTTGAGCAATTTTTTCTAATTGAGAAACTTCAAATGCTACTTTTTGAATCATTAAATCTTCATTAATATTATCTTTATTAATATTACTATTTACATTATTTTATTTTTCTTTATCATCATTTATTAACATTAATTTTTTATTTTCAATTTATCCATCAAATTATTATTATTTACAAAAACAATAGATACTAATAATTCTAATTCATTAAATATTAAATCAACCATTTTTTTGCAAAATTAAATGCATTTAATAAGCAATTTAAATAGCATCATAATTCATAAATTTTAAAGTTAAAAAGCCACTTTTATAATATTTTCAAAATTTTTAAATCAATACTACACAGTAAGGATGGTACCGCAAATATGTAATTGCAGAATAATTGCGATTTACAGTATTACAGAACATTGCGGATTTTTAAATCTAAAAATCTGCAAATTTGCAAATCCGCAATTATCTGCAAATCTGCAAATATTCCGCAAATCTGCAAATATCACAAGTACCTCAATTCAATTGCAGAATATTTGCGGTACTTTGTGATATTTGCAGATTTGCGGAATATTTGCGGATTTGCAGAATGTCTGCAAAAAAAACTATTTTTTTTTTAATAAAATATAATTACTACTAAAAAACATATTTCTATTTATTAATATTAATAATAAAAAAAATTATTTTACATAAAAAAAAATTAAAAGAAAATGCCGGAACCTATAGTTCTAGCGTTTTAATTAAAAAAAAATTAAAAGAAAATGCTGGAACCTATAGTTTCGATGTTTTTACATAAAAAAAAATTAAAAGAACCTTAGTTCCGGCATTTTTACATAAAAAAAAATTAAAAGAAAATGCCAGAACCTATAGTTCCGGCATTTTTACATAATAAAATTAAAAGAAAATACTGGAACCTTAGTTCCAGCATTTTTATTAAAAAAAATTAAAAGAAAATAACGGAACCCATAGTTCTGGTGTTTTTATTAGGTCACACAAATTCGAATTTTCAGTTCACTTCACCCGGCCGGGTCACTTTTTCAAATTTCAATAAAAAAAAGTTTATATATAAAAAATTTATCACGTGATCAGGACGTAAATTTATTGGCGGGTAAGTTTATCACGCGGCTGAGAACTTCTAGAGCGAAAATAAATTCCTCCCTTTTAAAAATCAACCAATCAAATGTCACGATTTTATATATAAACTTTTTTTACTAATAAACAATAAACCCCAGGTCCTCGGGTCGATTTTAAATTTCAATATTACGTGAACCGAAAAATTGAATTTGTGTGGCCTTAAAAAAAATTAAAAGAAAACGACAGAACCCATAGTTCTGGCATTTTTATTAAAAAAAATTAAAAGAAAATGCCAGAACCTTAGTTTCAGCGTTTTTACATAAAAAAATTAAAAGAAAATGCCAGAACCTATAGTTCCGGTGTTTTTATATAAAAAAAATTATAAGAAAATGCTAGAACCTATAGTTCCAGCGTTTTTACATAAAAAAATTAAAAGAAAATGCTGGAACCTATAGTTCTGGCATTTTTATATTAAAAAATTTAAAAGAAAATGCTAAAACCCATAGTTCTGGCGTTTTTACATAAAAAAAATTAAAAGAAAATGCCAGAACTCATAGTTCTGGCATTTTTACATAAAAAAAATTAAAAGAAAATGCCAGAACTCATAGTTCTGGCATTTTTACATAAAAAAAATTAAAAGAAAATGCCAGAACCCATAGTTCTGGCATTTTTACATAAAAAAAATTAAAAGAAAATGCCAGAACCCATAGTTCTGGCATTTTTATATAAAATAAATTAAAAGAAAACGGCAGAATCCATAGTTCTGACATTTTTATATAAATAAATTAAAAGAAAACGCCAGAACCTATAGTTCTGGCATTTTTATATAAAAAAATTAAAAAATATGCCAGAACCTATAGTTCTGGCGTTTTTATTAAAAAAAATTAAAAAATATACTGGAAGCAATAATTCTGGCATTTTTGTATAAAAAAACTATTAGTTCTGGTATTTTTTGTATGTAAGAAAACGCCAAAACTGAATTGCAGAATTGCGGGCTACTAACCGCAATTCAACTCCAAAATCCACAATATTGCAGAATTTGAAAATCATTTGTGAACCCATCCTTACTACACAGTGAAATTCGATGAACCAGATCTTTAATAAACTGGATTTGGGCCTAAACCGGACTTTTTTACTGGAACCAAATCACATATATTAAAATAGTTTTGATATACCAGAGTTTACTAGTAAAAACTTGATATTCACTATAACAGATTAATTTTCTAACTAGCTATAGTAAAAATAATTTGATAAACCAGATCACATAATCATTAACCAATAAAATTTAAGTAATATAATGTGGTAAATCTTAATTTTGGCCAGAATTATAAGAATCTTAATTCTGGCTGAAGTTATGTATTACTTATATCTTTAATTAAAAATATTTTATATTCATTTTCATGAACTCTATGACTTAAAACTAAGATGAAAAAATTAAATTATAGTATATATTAGTTTTATTAACATGAAAATTTTTTGAAAATTCAGTATAATAAATTTTCAGTTTTTTTGATATACAGGATATCCCGATAAACCAGATATTTTTAGTGAAACTGATAGATTTGGTTTATCAAATTTCACTGTGTATATGTATTAATATCAATTGTATATTCTATTTGATTGATTTAATTAATTAATTTTAAATATTGAATATAAAAAAAGGATAAATCTAATTGTAACAGCCTGTTACACATCTTATTTGTAACAACTCCCAATTTTATCCAATTAAAATTTAAGATCGGGCATAATGTAAACAAAAACAAAAGATCAGTTGTGTAACTAAGACAAAAGAATTTTTTAAAAAATTTCAAGAAACTGCTTATAACTTAAAATTTTGTCTATGAAACTGTCTTAAGTACATTAAGTAAAAGTTTTCCAAATTAAATTTTGCATATAAAAATTTTATTTGTGAAACACATATTAAATTTATTATTAAAAAAAAATAAAAAAAGGATGTTACAAATAAGATATGTAACAGGCTGTTACAAATACATTTTTTCATAAAAAAAAATTAATAATTACTTATCAGATGCTGATAATTTATTTTTATCAATTTTGAATTTTTCATTTCTAATTAATTATCATGGTATATATATTACTTTTCACAATACTTTAAAAATTCATAAGTTGTAAAGTCTAATACAAGCTGTTTTACAATTCTAAATATAATTTTCAGTGCTTCTGTACTATACTCCTAGAACTTAGAGTAACAATAGATAATCAGAATAATACTAATTTTATTCAATTAAAATTTAAGATCAAATCTCTATATGCAATAATAAGTAAAACTAAAGATTTTACTAAACTAGTAAAAATATTGTAGCTTTATAATGAAACAAGCTTCGCATATAGAAATACTATTTCGCTAAAATCTCTAAATGTATTTTATTGATAAAAGTTTCCAATATTGTAAAAAAAATATATTTGCATCATTATAATAGTTTTAGTTTTATAATTAATTTGATGATTTAAATAGACATTAAATAATTCACCTATTAGAAAAACTTAAAAATAATTAAAAACACTTATATTAATTGATAAATATATTTTAAAAAAAAAGAAAAGAAAGAATTATTTAATATTTTAATATGGATATATAAATGAAAAAACTAGCTTTTTCTGGTATTAAAATACTATCTTTTTGATACATTAATATTAAATCCAAATGAAATGTCTGATATATGGTAGTGTTATCCTGTTTATTAATATTACATATATCTCTGATATAAATAGGTGAATTAGGTATTTGAGCTAATTTAAGTAATTGATCATAACAAATAGTATCATTTCCAAATATAAGCAATTTTGAATTATAGTAATGTATTTGCCTTATGAAAAGTTTTTATACTTAAAATATACTTAAAATTTTATTAAAATATACTTAAAATAAGTATCAATTTTAATTCGCGATATACTTATAATATACCTAAAATATGCCTAAAATACTCTCAAAATATACTTTTAAAGTACTTATTTTTTTACCCAAGTACTTAAATTATACTTAAAGTATACTTAAACTAAAATTTAAGTACAATTTAAGTGTATTTTTACATGTTTAAAATATTCTTAAAATATACTTAAAATTCAATTTAAGTATATTTTAAGTATATAAAAAATACACTTATATCATATCAGCCTATTATTAGCATTGGACCTAAATTAGAGACCCCAAATTACTATTAAAATGCATGTGACCATCGTAATTGTTACACCGCATCATATGTCCATCACCTGACTTACTCACCAAAAAAACCCCTAAAAAAAAAAATTTACTAACAACTGTCGCGTCAAACCCATCTCCTCACCACAAAACCCATCTCTTCTAAAGGTAAATTATACAGGGCGTGCTTAGCTTAATATTCTTCAAAACTATATTTATTTACACTATTTATTTTGTATTTTAAGTAGTATGAATCGATCTGAAGTCTCCAACGGTATTGTTTCACTTCCAATAACTCCAACAACTCCAACAACTACTATTGATTCAAGGTTTGAGTGTAATGTATGCAGAAAATTATTTAAAAAAAAAAGTGGGTTGACAAGACATCTTAATATTGTTAAAAAATACAATATTTCACGTTCAGATCTTGACATTTTGCCCGAAAATACTATACAACAATTTAAATGTATCTTAGTTTACTATATTCGTAAGAAACTACCAAGGAGTTATAAACAATTAGGCAAACAAACAGTATCTGTTCCTGCTACTGAAAGTCAATTTTATGCTGTGTTTAAGAATCATATACATTATTATTCAGCTAGGAGGGGCTTTTACAAATGTATGTTTTGTGGAGTTTCAGCAAATCAGATATTGGCAAATATTCTAGATATTCAGGAATGGGCGGTTAAATTTTATGAGCAACAACAACGTACTTATATTGTACTTTGTGATGATGCTAATATTGGATCTGATGATGAAAATCCTATTTTACGAGCTACTAAAAAGTGTAAATCAAAATACAAATGTTGGCAACTTGTGGTGGAATGGAAACAACAAAAAAATATTGATTTTAACGGTAATCTCACTCAAGCAGGGCATATATATTTTCATTTCTTTAATAGTCAAGCTATGATTCAATGAAAATAAGCATTTGTATCATTTTTTTTTTTTGATTTTTAAATGTATTATATTGGTTAATTTTGATAAAATCTTACTATGATAGATGTACAAATTATATTAGAAATTAAAAAATTTTGTAGTGAAGTAAAGTTATTGGACGTCTAATGCTAAGTGTAAATAGACTTTTTTAAACTAAAAGAAAATATTAATAAATTATAATAAAAAATATATAAATTCGCATAATTATTTTGTGATTTTTTTGCGTGATATAATATTAAAATTAATTTGGCAATACTGATCGCCAATTTACATCATACACAGCTTAAATTGTTCCAAAAAAAATTTTTTTGTATTTTTTTACCGTAATAATTTTATTTTATTACTAACACGTAAGATATTATATATCTTAAGTTTTGATGTTAATTTTTTTGGGATTTTGGTAACTTAAAGGAATATTATTGTGATTATAAAAGAGATTTCGATTTTCATGTTGTAAAATTTCAACAATTGCTAATGATTGAGATTTCTTTTTACCTCCCCCACCATCTTTCATTGTCTTACGAAAAAAATAAGAAACCTGTTCATGATTTTTTTTTTCAATACCGCTACATGAAAAAGTTTTCAATCCCCATTTCTGGTGAATTGTCATAAATTCAGAAATATGATGAACTAACACATGAATATATGGCGTCATATTATCTGGTTGATACAAGCCTTTCTTAAATCCTTGAGTATTTGGAATACCTTCAGATGGTGTCAAGAATAAAGTAAGCCAATTTTTTGCATCATTTTTAAAATCTTCAGCTTTTGTTATGGGATCTTTCATTTTTATATAAAGCTCATAAAATTTGTTCCACAAATCTCGTATCATAGTAGCACGTCTTCTTGGAAGAATTTTTGTTAGATTAAAAAATTGTAATACCTTGAGTTTATCATCTCCCATCAAAGAAGTATAATTCCATGCTTTAGATCCTTGATCTTGCCAAAATTGAAAATTTATTTTAATTTTTTTCATTTCGTCTATAATAATTTTTCGTGCAATATCATTAAAATAACCCTGTTCTATTAATTCTGCTATCAAGAGACTCCACAATCGATCAGTAATTCGTAACATTACATGCAATTCATCAGGAATCCAATGATTAAGAGGTATCATATCAAAAAGAGGTTTTCTGGAGTGTCCTTCATAATAATTATTCTTCTCAATTAATTTATTTATATTCTTGCTAATTATCCATTCCTTTGATAGGTCTCCTTGCTGTGATTTGCTAATTGTGCACCAAGGACAAAAATTCTTACTGTGAGCGCCATTAAAACCCAAGCAAGTTGCTAAAAACTTCCAATCAGATGAAAAGTAAAGTTGAAAATTCCATTTTATATTGTTAATAACTAATCCTTGCTCTTTTAAATTTCTTAAATCATGACAAAATGGGGCCATTACATTTGATAAATAATCGTAATTTTCACATCCAGGATAAAGTATGGTTGTATGATAATGATTTGGCTTATTTAATTTACTCTTGTCATCCAAAATAGCTACTGCAACCATCACATGCTTAACTTTTCTACCAACATTACGTCCATCTCCAGATATTCGAAGATTAATTGTTGGCTGATGTGGATTTAAAATTCCTTTTTGAATGAGATCAGGAACTAAATATTGCAAGATATTTTTAATATTTCTATAACCTCCTTTACCAACTGCATCAATTACCTCTTGTACTATAGCTTCATCTTCTATATCTTCCTTTTCAGATTGATCTACTTGATTCTTAGTATTTACGTCCACTATTGATATTGGTATAAGCTGGGCCATTTTTTTATTTATTCTTTGACGTTCTTTTGATACTGCTCCTTCACGAGGTAAGTGAGATTCAATAGCATATAAACGTCGATAAGGATTTCTTGAAATGTTTTCTTCATCTAATACTCTAACCATTGATTCAATTTTTTGTTTTTTTTTAGTTTTATCTTCATTTCCATAATTGATATCAAAGATATGATTATTGACAGAGTAACGAATATTTTCCAATACTGGAATTTCTTCCACATTGTAAAAATTTGGTGCTTTCTCAGTGAATTCAGCTAACATGTGATTTCCAATACATGTAGCTCGTCTTGTGAGAGTAGAATTGCCACATTGATTAATTTGTTTTAACATATGTGCACATCGTTTTTTATCTCTTACCTTATCCAATATTTTAAGTTGAAGGCCAAACAAATAAATGCCTGATGTTTTAGTTCCTTTTTGTGAAGAATATTGCTAAAAAGATGAAATTTTTTGTTATTTTACGTAAAAAAGTGGAAAAAAAAATCATTTCAATATACAAACCTTATGAAATAAATTTGCAGCATCTGTAGCAGTTTTAACTGAAGAAACCTTATATTCAAAATATTTTCCAAAACATATTTGAAAAACTGGTTTACTATCATTATAATTAATAATACATTGAACAGTACACTGATTTGTACTTCTACCCCAGGTTGTTTCTACTACATAATTATCAGGAATACGATACTTATTTGGAGGAAGAGTATAAACCAGTGATGATTTATTGGGATATGTGCCTTCTTTTATAATTTTATATGAGAAACTACGTCCTGGCTGTTTAAACTTAATAACTGGATCAAAAGGATAATTGTGAACTTCTTCCATTTTTGCGATTTGCAAATAAAAAAAATGAATATTACGCGTAAAATATTTTATCGGCATATAAAATTTTTTTAATTTTGTGAAACGTAATTTTGTACTTAGTTACCTAATTGAGATCATCACCAATTAAAATGCTTGCAAGTTGTGTTACCATATGTCAATTTAATGACCGTCACTTGGGGTTATGTCTCAAAAATTGGGGTTAGGGTTAAGATCCGCACATATGTAGAGCAAGATGCGATAACTATTCGTGTAAAAATGGATAAATTTGGAAGATGTCATATTGGATCTAAGGTGTTTGGCTCCACGTTGTCATTTCGACACATAAAAAGTTCATATGTATTAGCCAAATTTATAACGACTGATGGAGAAGTCGATCGTTATACTGGACAAGTCCAGTATTATTTCAAGCATGAAATTGACTTGCCAAATGGACCTACTGAGCATTATTTGGCTTTTATTAGGTGGTACCGACTAGCAGACACAGCAAATATTCGGTATCATTTTAGTATTGATGATACCGAAGAAACGGAAACATGCAATGTTGAATTATGGAAAACAGATTTTTTTCCTGAAAGTAGGGATTGTATTATTTCAGTACACAACATTCTTTGCCGATTTGTGCCCGCTAAATATAAAATTTCTTCTAACCGCAACGCAACTGAATATTTAGCGATAAATCCATTAAATCGCAAGTTTCACATTCGGTAATTTACTAAAAGCTACAGAATTTTTCTTTACAATAATTGTTTAACGAATTTTATGGAATTAGTTATTTAATAATAAATAATACGAATAAATTGATTTACAATAAAATTTGACGAATCTTTAATTTCAGTGTTTTCTTATTTTACTTATATGTCATTATTATTTATTGATATTAATTAAAATTAATTAAAAAATCGGTTAAAAATCGTCAAAAAAGTTTTAAGTCGATCGTTGTTATTAATAAAAATCGATAAAAAAGAAGTATTGATCGATTTATGGTTTTTTTTTATGTTACAGCTCAACCAAAAATCAACCAAAAATCAACCAGTTGATTTATGCCAAAATTTTTCTGAATTTTGTAATTAGCCGAATGTGTGACGAATCACGTGACGATAATGACAAACTTTTGACGAAAGGTATTAATGCCAAAAGAAATGATTTCGACCAGTGATCCTTTAATACTGGTTTTGATCTTTGTATTTTTTGTCTTCGTGTTCTTGATTTTCATGTTTTTTAACTTTGAGATGTAATTAACCTTTGATACTATTTTTGATCTTATGTTCGTTGTCTTTGTATTCTTGATTTTCACGTTCTTTAATTTTAGGATGTAATTACCCTTTGATGCTGTCTTTGATCTTTGTATTTTTAGTTTTTGTATTCTTAATTTTCACGTTTTTTATCTTTAGAATATGGTCTATCTTTACAAAAAAGCAAAAAAGAAATATTAAATCAATAAAAACTTAAAAACACTTCATTTATCCCTAATTATAAAAGTCAAAGCCAAATTTTATATTCAGAAACAAAGAGGAATGTTATGTTTCAAAATCAAGAAAAAAAAAAAAATTAAAAACAAACTAAAGAAAAAAACTACCTATTAATCTCAAAGTTTAGGTTTAAGTTTAACAAAAAACAGGACCATGCTTACTTCTAATAGAGGTCTCCTCACAAAATTTCAAATTTACTAGTAATTTTACCAACTCCTTTTGTCTCATAATTTTACCTTGTATATAGAGTAACATTTTAAAATTATATTAAATTTTACCTTAAATTTCTAGTGACCTTAAAATTTTTATATGATATTTTAAAAGTATTTATAAATGTTAAATGTGAATTAGATTTATTACTAATGTAAAAAAATTAGTGTAATTATTTGTAAATACATAGCAATTTTTGAAAGATGGTATCTTTTTTAAAAAAGTGAAATATATTATATGCTTCCCCAGATATTGTTAATATATCAGATACCTCATTTGCAATATGATCTAATTGGCCTAAATGATATACTATTTCTTTATAGGAGATATGTGTAAATAAGTACCTCCCAATACGTGACTGCCGAGTAAACATTCCTCCATATAAGTGTATATATAAATGAATTGATATATACGAAAGATTATTAATAGAATCTACTCTTACATTAATATGAGCATCACTGGTAAAAAAATGATTTATCCTACACATATCTTACACATATTGGGTACTCAAAATGTAGAAAATCATACACAAATAATACACATATCATACATATATCGGGTACTAATATATATATCATACATATATCAGGTACCTGATAGGTATACTATATATATAAGTACCCGATATATGTATGATATGTGTATTATTTGTGTATGATTTTCTACATTTTGAGTACCCGATATATGTAAGATATGTGTAGGATATGTGTAGGATAGACCATTTTTTTACCAGTGCATGACGTTCTCCAATTTTTTGATATTTAGCTATTACTTTGCCAAGACACAACTTATTATCAGAAAGGATAATAATAAAAATTCCATCTTCTAAAGGGTGATTCTCTGTTACATTTGCTAATTCTATTTCATAAACTATTAACAAAATAAATAATATTTAAGTTATTAACATTAAATTATATAATAAAAATGCAAATAATTGTAAAATACCTGGCATATTTTTTGGAATTCTAATATCCGATGCTCTTTTTCTCATATTTTATCTGTTAAATTGAGGTCTATTTACTGCAAATTCATCACTTTCTTGCAAAACTCATACGAGATCATTAGCAGCATTTCTTTCGATTATTTCAATTGAATTTTCACTCATATCAATGCTCTTATTTCTAAGTCCACATATTCTTTCTGCCCGTGAAAATACATTGTGAGACTGTCTAATCTTAATTGCACTTGAAACTATTAAATTTCTATTTGCATCAAATAAAGTATCCTCTAGCGCCTGTGAATTATCATTATTTATATTATTAGGAGAAGAATGATTATTTGATAATATATATTGAATTTCCTTTACTGTCATTTGATTTGATGTTTCGCTATAAGAAATTTCATCATTTTCTTTATCGGAATCATCATAATCTCCATCATCAATATTATCATCATCATCATTTTCATTATCGGTATTTTCTAAACCTTCGATACTTCCATTTTGAGCAATTTTTGCTGATTGAGAAACTTTAAGTGCCGCTCTTTGAATCATTAAATCTACATTAATATTATCTTCATTAATAATATCTTCATTATTTCATTTTTTTTCATCATCATCTATTGACATTAATTCTTTATCTTCATCTTCATCCACCAAATTATTATTATCTACAAAAACAATAGGTGCTAATTCTAATTCGTTGGATACCAAATCAATTATTTTCGCAAAATTAAATGCATTTTGATGAGCAATCTGAACAGTATCATAAATTTCAGAGTTAGAAGGCTACTTTCGTAATATTTCCAAAATTTCTGAATCAATACTATATATGTGTATCAATATCAATTATATATCCTATTTGATTAACTTAATTAATTAATTTTAATATATTGGATATAAAAAAAATTAACAATTACTTACCGGATGCTGATAATTTATTTTTATCAATCTTGAATTCCCNAACGTTGCGAAAACGTCTTTTTCACTATGGTATATTAGAAAGAAACGTTTTGCAACGTTTTTTAAATTCTTTAGTAAAGAAACGTTGTGAAAACGTTTTTTCACTATATTATATTAGAAAAAAACGTTTTGCAACGTTTATTTCAATGCTTCAATAAAAAATGTTGCGAAACGTTTTTATGAAGATAAAGCTTGAGCCTGGCTTGGCTCGAGCTATGATTTTCATGGCTCGGTTCGGCTCACTTTAACTTGAGCCAAAATTTTTATAGCTCGGCTTATTCTGGCTCAGGCCAGAATTTTTTTTTTCGAGCTGAGCTGAGCCAGACTGTGGCTTGGCTCAAGCCGGCTCATGCAGAGCTTTAATTTTAAGTATATTTTAAGTATAAAAACTTTTCATAGGATTGGTTTCTAACTGTTTTTTTAGTGTATTTTAGATATTACATATTTACACATGGATGATAAGCTGATTGGTATAAATTTGAGCACAGAAGTTTACTCCATAAAATGAATCTACAAACTTCAAATATTTTTCAATACTTTTATTATTTATTATTTTTTTTTGTACTTTTATTTTAGAAATTGCTCAATACTTAGCAGATTTATTTTTATATGAACTGTCATATTTATTATATCAAGTAAGAGTTAATTAATTTTATCAGCTTTTGTATTTCTTTTTGTTAGAATTGTCACAATAATTACTGGTAGGATTTTACTAAAGCTCTGAACAGTTCAGTTCCATTTTTCAGTTTTTTTTAATTATTTAAAATCCATTTTGCACAATAATTTGCAATTTAATAATCATAGAAAGCCAATTAATATCTCATTAGAATCGTCTTATCAAAATGATTTAAATAGTACTAAAAACATTTTTCTAATATTGATAGATGACGAGTTAATTTTGCCAATTTTTCAAAAAATAACTTGCTATCTATCGATACTAAAAAGATGTTTTTAGTATCATTCAAACTGTTCTAATGAGACAATTCTAATAAGCTATTGATTGGCTTTCTACAATTACTGGATAGCAAGTTATTATGTAAAACAGATTTTGATCAATCAGAAAAAAACTGAAAAATGGAACTGAGCTGAACTGTTTGAAACTTTAGATTTTGCTTATTTAAATCTAAATGATTAATATTAAATGTTACTATGTTAGCTTATCATTATTAGAATTAATACTTTGTATTTCAATTACCTTAAAGATAATTTTCTAATTTAATTGGTTATAGTATCATTTTCTCAAATTAATTTCATTGTAGCATATATATCTTTATATATAGAAACTTTAGTTTAATTGAAAGATAATACTAATTCTATTATTGTTCAAATTTTTAAGAATACATCACTTTGAGTTAAAGTTTTATACAATTAGTCATCAAAATCACTAACCTCTTTTAATAGTAATCATTAGTAATCTTTGCAAATTGCATAATATTTTCAAATAATAAGTCTAGATTGGTAAATATGTTTTGATCTTTAGCTTATTGATGTCTAATTAAATTCAATATTTTTTTTTAAAAAAAAATTTTTAGTTTATTAATTATAACACTTGAGACTAGAGGTTAGAACCGGAATCGGTTATCAGATTTATAACCGGGTTTAACCGATTCGAAATTTAACCGGTTTACGATTCGGTTAACCGGTTATATTCAAACCGGTTTAAACCGATTAACTGGTTATTTCAAACCGGTTTAAACCGATTAATCAAACTGATCAAACCCGATTTTTAATTTTTGTGAATGGTGACATACCTCCACCTGATCTATTTATCCCCAATCAACTAATACAATTTCAGTTAATGAAATTTTAAAATTTTTTTTTTTGATTAATAATTTTAAATTTTTCGTTTTTTTTTTCAANTATGTGTATTATTTGTGTATGATTTTCTACATTTTGAGTACCCGATATATGTAAGATATGTGTAGGATATGTGTAGGATAGACCATTTTTTTACCAGTGCATGACGTTCTCCAATTTTTTGATATTTAGCTATTACTTTGCCAAGACACAACTTATTATCAGAAAGGATAATAATAAAAATTCCATCTTCTAAAGGGTGATTCTCTGTTACATTTGCTAATTCTATTTCATAAACTATTAACAAAATAAATAATATTTAAGTTATTAACATTAAATTATATAATAAAAATGCAAATAATTGTAAAATACCTGGCATATTTTTTGGAATTCTAATATCCGATGCTCTTTTTCTCATATTTTATCTGTTAAATTGAGGTCTATTTACTGCAAATTCATCACTTTCTTGCAAAACTCATACGAGATCATTAGCAGCATTTCTTTCGATTATTTCAATTGAATTTTCACTCATATCAATGCTCTTATTTCTAAGTCCACATATTCTTTCTGCCCGTGAAAATACATTGTGAGACTGTCTAATCTTAATTGCACTTGAAACTATTAAATTTCTATTTGCATCAAATAAAGTATCCTCTAGCGCCTGTGAATTATCATTATTTATATTATTAGGAGAAGAATGATTATTTGATAATATATATTGAATTTCCTTTACTGTCATTTGATTTGATGTTTCGCTATAAGAAATTTCATCATTTTCTTTATCGGAATCATCATAATCTCCATCATCAATATTATCATCATCATCATTTTCATTATCGGTATTTTCTAAACCTTCGATACTTCCATTTTGAGCAATTTTTGCTGATTGAGAAACTTTAAGTGCCGCTCTTTGAATCATTAAATCTACATTAATATTATCTTCATTAATAATATCTTCATTATTTCATTTTTTTTCATCATCATCTATTGACATTAATTCTTTATCTTCATCTTCATCCACCAAATTATTATTATCTACAAAAACAATAGGTGCTAATTCTAATTCGTTGGATACCAAATCAATTATTTTCGCAAAATTAAATGCATTTTGATGAGCAATCTGAACAGTATCATAAATTTCAGAGTTAGAAGGCTACTTTCGTAATATTTCCAAAATTTCTGAATCAATACTATATATGTGTATCAATATCAATTATATATCCTATTTGATTAACTTAATTAATTAATTTTAATATATTGGATATAAAAAAAATTAACAATTACTTACCGGATGCTGATAATTTATTTTTATCAATCTTGAATTCCCTATTTCTAATTATTTTATTACTGTACATTACTCTTCGCAATACTGTAAAAAATTCGTAAGCCGTAAAGTCCGGTACAAGCTGTCTTGCAATTCCAAATACATGTTCCAGTGCTTCCGTGCCATGCTCCCAGGGTAATAATGGATAATCAGAATAATAATCTCTATGTGCAATAATAAGTAAAACTAGAGATTCTGCTAAACTAGTAAAAATATTGTAGCTTTGCAATGAAATAAAGCTTCGCATATAGGAATACCACTTCGCTGAAACCTCTAAATGTGCTTTATTGATAAAAGTTTTCCAATATTGTAAAAAAAAATATGCTTGCATTACCATAATAATTCTAGTTTTATGATTAATTTGACGATTCAAATAAGCATCAAACAGTTCATCTATTAGAAAAACTTATAAATGATTAGAAACACTTAAATTAACTGATAAATATATTTCAAAAAAAAAGAAAAAAATAGGATTACCTAATATGAACATATAAAGAAAAAGCCAGCTTTTCCTGGCATTAAAACACCATCTTTTTGACACATTGATATTAAATCTGAATGAAATGTTCTATATGCGGCAGCGTCATCCTGTTTATCAACATTACGTACATCTCTAACACAAATAGGCGAATTAGGCATTCAAGCCAATTCAAGTAATTGATCATAACGAATAGTATCGTTTCCAAATGTAAGCAATTTTGAACCATAATGTATTTGGTTCCTAGCTGTCTTTTTGGCATGCTTTGGATATTGCACACGGACGATAGGCCGATTGTTATAAATTGGAGCACAGAAGTTTATCCCATAAAACGAATCTACAAACTCCAAATATTTTTCAATACTTTCGTTACTCATTATTTTTTCTTGTGCTTTCATTTCAGAAATTACTCCATCAGCACCAATACTTAGCAGATTTATTCCTGCACGAGCTGTCATATTTATTATATCAAGTAAGAGTTGACAATTTCGTCAGCTTTTGTGTTCCATTTTGTTGGAATTGCCGCAATAATTACTGGTAGGATTTTGCTTATTGGAATCTAAATAATTAATATTAAATGTTACTATATTAGCTTGTCATTATTAAAATTAATACTTTTATTTCAATTACCTTGAGGATAAATCCTCTAATTTGATTAGCTACAGCATTATTTTCTCGAATTAATTTCATTGTAGCATGTATATCTTTGTATGTAGAAACTTTTGTTTGATCGGAAGATAATACTGATCCCATTATTGTTCCAAATTCTTGAAAATACACCACTTTGGGTCGGAGCTTGGTACAATCAGTCATCAAAATCACTGGCCCCTTCTAATGGTAATCATTAGCAATCTTTGCGAATTGCATAATATTTTTAAATGATAAGTCCAGACTGGTGAATATATCTTGATCTCTAGCTCGTTGACGTCTAATTAAATTCAATATTAATTAAAGTTATCAGCGGCTAATTTAATTAATCCATCTATTTTTACCTGATATGCTGTAAACTCATGTCACCAAAGGCATTTTTAAATATCGAATAAATTCTTGAATTTTCAGACAACAAACTAAAAAAATGTAATAAATGTTCTGAATATTTAAGTCCATTTTTTTTTATCACGTTCTTCCAAATTTTTGAGTTTAATCATCAAATTAACTAATTCGGTAAAGGTTTTATTTGAATTAAATGCACCTTTTTGACCCAATTCGGCTAATTCTAGCCATATTTTTGCTTCTTGACCATCAACACTAGAACGATATATCTTTTTCAAATTAGCGTTTTGGAGTGTTTTAGTAAATTCATAATGATTAGGTATATATTTTGCCGTAGAATCATTATGACGTCTTTAATATCAATATTATAGTTAAAATAATTGATAATTTAGAATTTAATAATTATCAAATATTTACCTCGATTAAAGCTCTTTTAAAATGTGCATTATCACGTATAGCTTGGCAATTTATACAAATACCACTTGGGTGCCATGTTTTTCGCTCACAATTTATGCTGAATATTGCTTTAAGATTTTTATTAATACGCCATTTAAAGGTTAATAATAACTCACGTCACCAAATAATTTTCTCTTCTGGTGTTAATTTATTTCTTGAAAACCCTTTACGCTCCAGAAACTTATTTGGAAATAAGTTATATGCAACTAAATATATAATCCCTTTTTCCTCCTCCATATTGCGTTGGTGTAAGTAAAATATAATCCAGATATTTATCATCACTAAGACCTTGACATGATATAGGTTATACATGCTGCCCAAATTATTTTGGGATGCCATAATTATAATTTGGGATGCCATAATTCATTCGGTTTATATATAATTTACTATGTAAAGTGCCAAAATAATTTGGGATTCCATAATTGAATTTGGGATTTTACTTATAATTACGGCAGTCCAAAATAATTTGGGTGGCATGTATAATATAGGTGATATTTGAACAGGTGTATTTTCGTCAATTTCTAAAGGGCGTTTTACAAAATTTAAAATACTAAATTGTCCCTTATTTGTACCATTCTGAAATAAACACCCACTGCCAGAAGCATGAGTTTCTAAATTCTTTACGCGATATGTTTTATCTAATTTTACTTGCTTATTACATTTACATTGAACAGTTTTAGAGTCTATAAGTTTAAAAAAGTTTTGGTGTGCTTTTAGTTAGTTATATCGTAACTGTTCTTCATTACTTTTATATACATTAAACATGATTTATATCATATTTTATGATGTATTTTATGTCATGTTTTATGTCGTGTTAAAAACTTAAAATATAAAAAATATATATATACTTATATATATATCTAATGCACAGGATGTTATACAATTTTACCTTGTGAAACTAGAAACCTAGAAAACTTTGTATGTAAATTTACCTTACACGTCCGGTAACCTATTCTAATTTTACCTTATAATATCGGAAACTTTTTTTTAATTTATATATGATTTTACCTTATACTATTAAGAGACATATATTAATAAATTATTATAAATTTTACCTTATATTTTTGGACACCTCTATTAGAAGTAAGCGGGGTCCTCAAAAAACCAAGGTACTTCTAAAAAAAAAGAAAGAGAAGACATTTCCAAACAAAAAAAACTAAAAACAAATGAAAGAAATTATAAAGTTCAGAATTGTTTCTAGAAAAAAAATAAAACATTATTTACTGTATCACAAATGTAGCACAAAATTTTTACCAATAAAATTCAGTGGCATTGATTTATGTGACATATCACAGGTGCGATAAAAAATAAAACCCTTTTATATAATATTTTAAATTTTTAAATTTTTAAAATTTTAAAGTTTCAGTAAATATAATTTTAAATATTTATATAAAAATAAAATTTGTGTATATCAATAAGATTGCCTGCCTAAACCTCTTCAAAATTCTACGATTAGTTTCTCTAAAATTTTACTATAGTTTTATTATAATTTCAGCAAGGTGCTAAGGTTTTGGCAGTTTCAGCATTTATAATAAGTTTCGTCAGGTTTCGCTTTTCTTCAGAGTTTTACCAACTTTTTAATAAGACTTTCATATAGTTTTGGCAAAGTTTCACCATTTCAGCATTTCGCCAACTTGCCAAAACCCCCTAGTTTTTTCAGTAACCTTACCAGTATATGTGCATTCTTCCATTTTTGGTAATTTTTATTTAGATTAATTATTATATGACTTTATCAAAATCCCAAATTTTAAATATTTATGTTACAATTTGCAACTCTTATGTATATATTATAGAACTTTAAATTTTATTTATTATGCGTATTTTTGCTTATTTTATAACTTTATTTAATAAGTCATAAAGGATTTAAAATGTTATTTTTGACTTTTATATATAATATATCTATAAGGTAAGGTATGTATATGTATAGGTATGCATAAAATTTAAACTCTATTTATATTATTATTTTTAAGTAATTTGTTTTTTTTTTTATAAATTTTACTATTTTATATAAATTTTTATATTTAATAATAATAAAGTACTATATAAATAAATTTTATTAAAATTAATTAAACATCTGTTTAAGATTTACTAAGTAATAGGTAATGCAAACTTATATATATATTACCTACTCAAAAGTTTAGGACCACCTTAAAAATTGAATAAATTAAGGTTTATAAATACCAAATACAATAATTTTAATTTTATTTTATAATTTAAAATATAGAAAAAACCTTTAAATTTTATTTTTCACTTAATTTAATAATACTAATCTTATTTATTTTTTGCAAACTATTTTAATTTATATCTAAAATAAGTTATTAATAAAATTTTACTTTTAAATCATTCTTAAATAAAAGTAATTACAATAAAACTATTGTTAAATCTTTATTCTACGAATTTAAAGAATTAAGACAAACTAAATTTTATGCAAATCCAATCAGTAGTTAATAAAAAATTGATTGTTAAATGTTACTATATTATATATAGAAATTAAATGTAAATCATTTTTTATATGTAAAATATCAATATTCAACAATTAATTTTTCATTAACTACTGATTGAATTTGCATAAAATTTGGTTTATTTTAATCCTTTTAATTAGTAAAACTAAAATCTAATAATGATTTTATTGTAATTGCTCTTGTTAAGAATGATTTAAAAGTAAAATTTTATTAATAACTTATTTTAGATATAAATTAAAATAGTTTGCAAAAAATAAATAAGATTAGTATTATTAAATTAAGTGAAAAATAAAATTTAAAGGTTTTTTCTATATTTTAAATTATAAAATAAAATTAAAATTATTGTATTTGGCATTTATAAACTTTAATTTATTCAATTTTTAGGGTGATTCTAAATTTTTGAGTAGGTAGTGTATATAGGATTGGAAATTGTACTATATAGTAAATTATATATATTTTTTATATTTAAAATATATTTTAAATTATAAATTTTTTTTCAATTACAATAATCTAAATTGATAATAAATTATTCTTTAATATTAGTGCAATGAATGATTTATATATATTATTATACTGTACTTACTAAAATTTTGCCTTAGATATTATAATTTTCTAACTCTGCCTATATACATGTAGATATTTTACTGACAAATTGTAAATATTATTTCATATGTTATATAATAATAGATTATTTATTTATCATAGATAATTTGTAAAGAAATTTTACTAATGCCGAATTCTTAGGAATTTTATTATTATTAAGCTAATAATTAGAAAGAAGAATAACTAATCCGTAACAGGACCACTTATTCTGGAAACTGAATTTTTTTTTTTTCATTCCGAGTACAAGATATTATTGGTTAAGTAAATAAATTAATAATCTGATTATCAAAAAAATAAAAAACTTTTAAACTTTTTATAGTTTAGTGATTGAATAAATAAGCTTAATAACAGATAAGCTTAGTAATTCAATAACATATGATTACAGGATTTACAATCAAAATATCTATTTTTTGATAATATGCATCTACTCTATCTATATATGTCATTAATCTGTCTACATTTACATTGAATAAAACTTCACACGCTGGATTTGGTATCATCAAATAATTAATATAAGAACGTACGTTCTAATCATTTGTTACGATAAATTTCAAGATGGTTTTGGCAAGTGAACTTAACGCATGGCGAAAACTTCAAAGTCATTATGACAATGAAGGTAAAAATCTTATCATGAGGGACCTTTTCGCTCAAGATAAGAATCGGTTCAATACTTTTTCTCGTCAGTTTAAGGGTGAACGTACTGGTGCTTCCATTTTGCTTGATTTTTCGAAAAATATCATCACAAATGATACATTCGCTGCTCTAATCGGATTGGCACGTGAAGCTGATGTTGAAGGTTTCAGAGAAAAAATGTTCAATGGTGAACATATCAATTTCACTGAAGATCGAGCCGTATTACATATTGCCTTAAGAAACGTTTCAAACAAACCGATCCTCGATAACGGTGAAAAAGTTATGCCAGGAGTTAATGAAGTTTTGGAACAAATGAAAAAAACTTCCAATGCGATTCGTGATGGTTCATGGACCGGTTATACGGGAAAATCTATTACCGATATCGTAAACATCGGTATTGGCGGATCTGATCTTGGTCCCGTGATGGTTACTGAAGCTTTGAAACCATACGCGAAACCAGGGCTGAATGTACACTACGTTTCGAATATTGATGGGACACATTTGGCTGAAACTTTAAAAAAATTGAATCCAGAGACTTCCTTGTTTATTATTGCTTCTAAGACCTTTACAACCCAAGAAACTATTACTAACGCTACGTCAGCAAGAGATTGGTTCCTTGCTACTGCCAAAGATGTAATGTATTTTATATATATATGAATTATAAATTAAATTAATTTAATTTACATTCTCTATACTGCAAATTTTTTTAGAATAAACATGTTGCAAAACATTTTGTTGCACTTTCAACGAACACTAACGCGGTTGTGTCATTCGGAATTGATCCTGCCAACATGTTTAAATTTTGGGACTGGGTTGGTGGACGTTACTCTTTGTGGTCAGGTATGGATTAAATGACGGTAACTTGACGTCAAACTCGTTAACGTAATAACAATTATTTGAATATAAAGCCATCGGTCTTTCAATTGCAATATACATCGGCTATGATAATTTTCACGAACTTCTTTCTGGAGCTCATGATATGGATCTCCATTTTAGAAACACTCCTTTGGAAAATAATTTGCCAGTGATTTTAGGAGTTCTTGGTGTTTGGTACAATAACTTTTTCGGATGTCAGACTCATGCTATTTTACCTTACGATCAATATCTGCATCGTTTTCCCGCTTATTTTCAACAGGTTTGTTTTTAATACTTTTTAATGCGAACCCCTAAATGCAATATATTCAATTATTCTGCCTATTAAGGGTGATATGGAATCAAACGGAAAATATGTCTCCCGTTCAGGACAAAATGTCAATTATTCAACAGGTCCTATCATTTGGGGTGAACCAGGAACAAATGGACAGCACGCATTCTATCAATTGATTCATCAAGGCACCAAAATAATTCCCGCAGACTTTTTGGCACCAATCGAAACACACAATCCTATATCGAATGGTCTGCACCATAAAATATTACTTTCAAATTTCTTTGCCCAAACTGAAGCTCTTATGATTGGTAAGACCAAAGAGGAAGTCCTAGAAGAAATAAAGGGTTTGCAAAACAAAGAATCGATAGCTCCACATAAAGTTTTTCGTGGGAATCGGCCAACGAATAGTATCATGTTTCAAAAGCTAACGCCTGGCACACTGGGAGCTCTCATTGCCCTTTACGAACACAAAATTTTTGTACAGGGTACCATTTGGAACATCAATTCATTTGATCAATGGGGTAAGTTTAAAATATTAAACGTGTATTTTTAATAAAAACGAGTATTTAAATTTATTTCTAAATCCAGGTGTGGAACTTGGTAAGGTTCTTGCTAAGAAAATCTTGCCAGAGTTGGAAAATCAAGATGCTGCACCTGTTTCTTCTCATGATGGCAGTACTAATGGCTTGATCAACTTCTATAAGTCCAATAAAAACAATTGAAGTTATATCATTACAAACCATAACCTTACTAAATATTTATTTTTTGTATATTAGTTTAAATTAATACAAATGTTTAGGAAGTGAGAATTAAGAAGAACCAGTAGTTAATTCCCATAAATGATTAGTCATAAAATATTGTGAATGTCTATCATCGATCACCACAGTATGAATGTCATTACCATCAGGGGATTCTAATAAAGTTTTATATTTAAATTTAATGAATTGCATTTAATTTTAATTAAAGATGAAAAAAGAAATTTTTTACCTATTCTTGCTTTTAATTCGTGAGTATTCTCGTCCTCAATGAATTGAATACCCAACTTACGGTATAAGTGAAGTTGAAGCCTTATTAATTTTTTTTAAAAAACAAATTATTATATGTAATAGAAATTGAAATTTCCAACAATATTATTACTCACGAAATATTATCATCTTTTGGTAGTGTCTCGTCTTCAACGCTCATATTCTCTAATTCTTCTAGTTCTTTACATAATGAATAAGATTCCTCTTCGAGTTCCGTAAAAAGAAAAAGAAATTAAGAATTATATCATAAAAAATTATAAATGATGAATTTCGTAAACAAAAGGATATTTTTCTTCCATTTCTAATTGAGCGTTTAATTCATCTAATTCAAATTTTTCACGCTCATGTTTGGCTATAAGATCATTAAAATTAGGATCATTTTGATCGGTTGATTTTTTCGCGCCGGCTTTGATTGTTGTTAATTTTCTGTTCAACACTTAAGGGAAAAAAAATAATGTGTATATGCATATATATATATAAAATAAAGTATATAAACTTAAAAACTTACTTCTTAGTTCTTTCCTGAGCTCTTCACTTTTCTGGGTCGTTATTTCTTCAAACTTACGAACATTTTCAGCAACTTCTTTGAAGGCTTCTATCTGTTCGTCTGAATTGAATTTATCCTTCAACGCGATAATTTCTTTAATAATGTCAGACTGCTGTTCCATTCCGTATCGAATTTTTGATATGAACAAAATACCCTATGTAAAAGCTGGGGGTCTACACGATAGTCCCAGGTACGAACTTTTATATTATATATTGACAAAGTACGCGTCTTATCACGTGATTAATTAAAAAAAAAAAGTTATTGCCAATTTGCCATAATGTCATAGTGTTAGTACAAAGTCTTATAAATGAGACTTTTTTTCATACAAAACCTTATAAGTCGAATATAAAAAAACCTTTAAATAAATTTAAGTTTTAAAATAATGATTATTTGTTTAGTAATTAAAAAATTTTATTATTTGAGATCAGAATCCAATATCTGATATTAAATATTTTTAATAACATAATATAAAAATGCGGCAAATAATCTTTCTTACAACAAATAATTAAAAAACACTATTTATAGCAAACAAATAATGTGATTCTTTAATTTTTAATGTGGCTTATTAAAAAAAAAATATAGATCTGCTCTTCTCATTTTATATTCTTATTCTTGCATTAAAGTTATGCTGTATAACCGTCAACTTTACAGTTAAGGTAAATTGTACAAAGTTTTCTTTTGAAAAGATTCACAAACTATAATTGTGATAAGGCTCAAGACAGATCGTCAAAATTTTTTTTCTTCTGACATGAGAATGTGACGAAGTCATTTTGAGAATATTTTTTGGATCTATATATCTCAATATAGATTCATTGTAGTCTCCACAAAAAAAAAAAAAAAAAAAAAAATTGATGTAACGATTAACCGGTTTTTGAAATTTAAAACTCAACAAATAAAAGCTCCTAATGAATAAATCCATAGATAGATGGAGTTGTAATTAGTACATTTTTATAATCATTAAAAATCCATTAGATTTGTTAATGTAATGTGTAAGATCATAGCTAATAAAGAATGTAATATTGAAAAATATAAATAATGATGAGAAGCGAGAAGATCCGAATAATCAAATGTATAATTGTACGAATCGGAAATAAGCTTTTAATTTTAACCGTTAAGAAAGTACTAAGAAAGGAATTCAAGGCAAAAAAAAAAAAATAGATTATAAACTGTACGAAAGGCTAAGGAAATAATGGAAAAAATAATTCCTTTTATCTTTATGAGTTAAATTACGCCATCCTTTCATTGGTTGATCTTGTTGTTTGAATGCTATTATTGTGACGACCTTATCAAACATATCCTGTTCGGGACTTTACACTGTTTTAGGTAAGCATAGTGAGAGCACACTTTTTATGCTTGGTTTCAGGGTTTGTGTACAGTTATTTTGTTTTTTTCGCTGGGGCTTTTTTTTTCTACACCGTTTCTTCTTTTTTTTTGTTCTTTTTTTTTAATTTTTTTTTTTTAAGTTTATGGTGGAGGGTTGTTTTTAGCTTCTCTACTCCTTTAATCTCTAATATAATCTTTATTTAATATTAATAATATTTATCGCTCTCAGTGTACCCTTAATAATAAATTCCCTTATATAAAGTTATTTGCTTACTTCTGTTTACTAATTTGTACTAATTTCAGTTGGGTGTTGAATCTTTCAAGACTAATTCACCCGTTACACAAAAAAACCTCTAGTATAATATTTAAGACTTTACGACCCGCGGTTCGTTTGTTTAATCAGGTTTATTCTATTGCCTTAAAAAACAACTCCTTGGGTTTATTAATTCCCATCACGTTTTTGCTGGGCAAAATCTGATGCGCAACTAATTTACAAATATATAAAAAAGAGCTTTAAAAATGACCACGCAACAATCAGAATTGAATAAAGATTCGTATTCTACTGGGAACAATTCTGGTGGTTCGCCCCAACAACACGAAGCTAGATACTTTTCTTCTAAAAGGTAAGCTTATGGGTTGTTTCAAAGTTTTTTATCACCAAAAAAAAAAGTATAGACTCGCGTTTTTTAAAGAAAAAAAAAAGTTCTCGTGTCACAAGCATATTTCGGTTACACGTTTTTAATTGTTAGTCAAAGTTTATTAACTTTCTAAACTTTTATTATTACAGAGCCAGAGAAATTCAAGCTGAAGAGGGTATCACGTCACCTTATCGTCCTAGCGCCCTTCCTCCCCCGTCGTTCTCTACAAACGGTGCTTTTAATAATGGAACGCTTCTTTCGGATTCTGCTGCTAATACATCAATTGAATTTTTGAATTTAAAATCAGTTGGTACTAAAGTCTCTACCTCAAATGGTGGTGGACAAGAACATATCTCTTCATACCCTTCTTCTTTTCGTCGAACACGTGCGGATACTTTACCCTCTTCTTTATCACGTCCTCCTATTCTTCATGGACATAGCCCCACATCATCTTTGTCAATGAGTTCATCATCTACTACGAATTTACTTACTCCTCCTAAACCCAATTCTCGTCTTCGTTCAGGATCACTTACACAATTACCATCATCATCTCTTTCTGCTGCGTTTGGACCATCTATTTTTACTTCTGGATGGTCAGATCATCGAAGTGAATCAAATGGTCCTCCAACTCCACCTATGCAAACTCCAACCACAGGTGATTTGCTTCGTGGTGATGAAAATAACACAGTTAGTAAAACTTTAGATTATTTAGGTTTAGATGATCACGAACATGGTGGAGGTTCAGGAATGTCTAAAATTCCTACAAGTGCTGGTAATCTTCCACAAATAAAGGTTGAAATGAAAAATTCAGCTCCTTCTTACACTTCATCCAGCGGTAGTATTCCAAATATACCTGCTCTTCGTAGAGATGCGAACAGAATACGTTCATATTCTGTCTCTGCTACTGCTAAATACGATGAACCACCCGTAACTTCTACAATTACTACAAATAATTTATTCCCTCCGGGTTCCGCTGCAGTTCAGCAATTTCATCAAACTCATTCTAGACCCCGTGCAATTAGTTTGGGAATTTTGGACCTACCTAATGATATTGTGATGATGCGTCAAAGCAGAAACAACCAAATGTATAATGATTTATCTGATTCAAATCAAGGTATGGGAACTACAAATCCTTCCAGATCACTTGGAGGTGAACAATTATTAGGAATGATGCTTGTTGGTGCTATGGAAGGTAAAAAGAAACAACAACAAGCAATTCATGATGACGATTATTTGTTAGCGGATCATGATGATATGGAGGTATGATATTAAATTTTGTAATAATAATAGTTATTATTTTGTTTCATATTTTTTCATTATATATGACTTAGCTTTAAACTTTTGTTTTGTTTTTTTTTTTTTTAATAAAAAGGTCCCTCGATCTAGTATTTCTAGTCCTCGTGATCATACGCCCGATCATTCTCAACAAAGTACTCCTCCCCCACAAACACCAACTCGTTCTCTTTGGATTGGAAATATTGATCCGACTCTTAGCACCCAGGATCTTATGCAACTTTTTTCGCCATATGGGACCATCGAAAGTCTCAGACTTTTGCCTGATAAAGAATGTGGTTTTGTTAATTTCGTTCGCGTCGAAGATGCTATTAGAGCTAAGGATGATATTATGAATAGAATGGGAGGCCGGGTTGGAAATTGTATTGTTCGCGTAGGTTACGGGAAGGCTGATGCATTAAATAATCATGACCTTTCTCCTTCATCTCAAACTCAACTTCAACCCACACGAGCTCTCTGGGTCGGAAATATTCCCACTTCTACTACTCCTCAGGCATTACAGAACATTTTTTCACCATATGGTGCTATTGAATCGGCTAGAGTGCTTACTCATAAGAATTGTGGATTTGTAAATTTTGAAAAGTTAGATGATGCTGTCAAAGCTAAGAAAGCTTTGCATGGTAAAGAAGTTCTTGGAAGTGCTGTTGGACCTGTCAGGATTGGTTTTGCAAAAGTTCAACCTAAACCTTCGCCCACGTCAACTCCTGAACCAGGTTCTCCGGCCACGCGCCATATCAGAAACCTTTCATCATCATCATCATCATCTAATAATCAAAATTCTGGTCAATGGAACGGACAAGTTGAAAATTATCATAATAATATGATAAGGATGATGATGGCGGGCGCAGCAAATGCTAATAATGGCCTTACTGAAAAACAATCAATGATGCGCGAATTAAGCGGTGGAGTTGATGATGATATCGATGATATTCTTGGTTAGTTTCTAAATGTGTTTTATACTTTTTGTTCTATACGAATAGTATACCAAATTTAATATACGTTATTAACTTATTTTTACAGAAAATCGCCCTGCCGCAACGTATTTCACTTCCATTCCACCTGTTGGAGATCCTAATCCAAACCGCAAACCGGATGCCTCTAGATTAAGAGAAATTCGAAAACGTTTAGATAGTGGACATTGTTCTGCTAAAGAAGTAGAAGCTATTGCTGCTGAAGTATTAGACGAATGTGTTGAATTATCAAGTGGTAGGTAAATTTCCTATTCTTTATATTCTTAATTTATATGTCCTAAAATTTTTATTTCCTAATAATTAGATTACATTGGTAACACCGTTATTCAAAAATTATTTGAACGTTGTTCTGAGAATACCAAAACTAAAATGTTAGAAAAGATCGCACCTCATTTAGCTACCATTGGTATTCATAAGAATGGGACTTGGGCTGCACAAAAGATTATTGACTGTGCCAAAACTCCTGCTCAGGTATATGATTTAATATCAAGTGTTACATTCCGCATAGTGATAAGTATATTGAATGGTTATTTATACTTCTTTCTTTAGATGCAACTTATCACTTCCAATGTTAAGGCATATACTCCACCACTACTTTTGGATCAATTTGGAAATTATGTAGTGCAATGTTGTTTACGTCTTAGTCCTCAACGTAATCAATTTATTTTCGATGCAATGGTAGACCGATGTTTGGATATAGCGCAAGGTCGTTTTGGAGCTCGTGCCATGAGAGCCTGTTTAGAAAGTCAACATGTAACAAAAAAACAACAGGTAAAATATTTATTAGTCTATTTAGGGTTTGTTTATTTTTTAAGTGTGTTCTAATAGTTTAATTTCTTTTATTTTTATTATTAGAAACAAGTAGCCATTGCTATTGTAATGAATGCAGTACCCCTTTCAACTAATCCAAACGGCGCATTATTGTTAACGTGGATGCTTGATACCTCTTCATTTCCTGGCCGTTATCGTATTTTAGCTCCACGCCTTTCTCCCCATTTGGCACACTTGTGTACACATAAGCTTGCATCGTTGACTGTTCTTAAGATTGTCAATCAACGACAAGAGGCAGACGCACGTGATCTTACAATCGCCTCATTATTTTTCTCTGCAAATGACCAAGTTTTAGAAGATGTGCTTAGCGATCAAGTTCATGGTGTTGGTGTTGTTCAAAAAGTATTAGCTAGTCCATATGTAGATCCTACCGAAAAAACACGATTGGGAGAAAAAGTAAAATATGTGTTAGGTAAACTAAAGGTTCAACAGGTACAAGGATATAAACGTCTGCTTGAAGAATTAGGTATGGTGGGAGATCCTTCTCTTGGCAGTACACCATTGAATCCTGGACCTTCTCAAGTCGGTATCCCTCCACAAGGTGTGTTTCCGAGCCCTTTGCCACCAGATCTTGCAGCCGCCGCCGCCTATTATGCAGCCGCGCAAGCTGCTTTTGCAAATCAACAATTGCAGCAAGTCGCTTCAGGAACAACTTCATCAGAAAGTAATGGTTCTTCTCACGAACAATTGGGATCTCAATCTTCAATAAATCCTACCTCAAGCGAAGGATCTTCATCAAATTCGACTGCAACTTCCACAACTATGGCATCTACGCCTTCATCGGCATATCCACCAACACCCATGTTTATGAATAATATGCCAATGTCTCCTCATCCTCATTCGCCATTTCCACCTACTTCACCTTATCCGCACATGAATCCTTTCCCGCCTTTCATTCATCCATCCACACTAGCAGCAGTAGCTGGGATGTATCATCCTGCAATGTTTAGTCCTGCAGCTGCATATCCTTATATGCTCGCGGCTTCAAGTGCGATGCCACCACCTATGATGAATACAGCACCACCCACGCCAGGTAATACTCAAAATGCACAAATGCTTGCATTCTTACAACAGCAACAACAATTATTGCAGCAACAGACAAATAGCCAACAATCTCAGCAACAACAGCAACAATCCCAAGAACAGCCATCGCAGCAACAACAACAATCACCGTCTATCGGTAGTGATGCGCAGGCGCAATCATCGCCACAAATCATTGCCGAGTCGCTTACACAATCTTCGGTTGGTCAAGTTGAAGTTCCAGTTCAAGCTCAACAATAAATAAGAGACTATGCACTCAAATTCCTTATTATATACAGTATATATATATTTTTTATTATATAGAAGGTTTTTTTATATATTGAAGGGATCAGGGTATTCTGATGACGAGTTAATCTCTAATTCGGATTTTTATTCTTAAATTTATTTTACGGTAATGATTTTTTAAAAAAAAATTTAAGAACGAAAACAAGAACTTATTATTAGTATATATTATATAAAAGTATATTTAGTTTTTTTTTTTTCGTTCTACGTAATGTAATTTCTGAAATGGTTATTTTAAACAATTTTGGTTTTATCTATTTACTTAGACATATTATGTATTTTTTTTTTATGCAGTATATATTTTTTCTTTTTTTTTTATTAGAATATTTCACTTTTTCTATTATTATTTTAACGGGATGTCATTTGGTGATACGTTTTTTTCCTTTATAAATAAATTTTTCTTTACTTTAGTCATTAATAGTATGTGTGACGGACGAACTATAAGGTAGATTTAATCACAAAAATTACTTTTAAGAAGAGGGTATATTAAGGCGCGGTGATTAAATTTTCTTTAAAATAGCAAAATAATTTAATTTAGATAGTTAATATATATATATTTTTTTACAAATAATTTACATAATTTCAATCCATCATACATATTAGTTGACGGGACATGTATAATATTCTAACTGTAATTTATTTAATTGATTTTATCCTAAAACAAATGTAATCCCCAAAAAATTGTATACATGTATTTATTAAATTAAAAAAAATTTTTTTCTAGAATTCTATTTTTTTTTTTTAAAAAAAAAAAGTTAATCATCAAAATCCTCAATTACAACACTCGAAACAACATCTTTCCATTTTTCTTCCATGGCAGTTAATAAAATTCCAGCTTTTATGATCACTTCTTCAACTAATGCCATTACGATTATAGAATCAAATTCGTCAAACTCACTAACCGTGTTTCTAACGACTAAAATTGCTTGATTATGAACATCAATGGCTTTTTCCCACCGAACCAAAGTTTCGGGTTCAATATCCATATTAAACGTAACAATTCCTTTTGCAACAAAAGTAGCTTTATGATTTATATCAAATGGAGAAAATACATGCAGAGAAACATTTTTAATTAATTCAGCGGGATGATCATCAATGTTAAAAGTCGTCCATGATGATTCTAAACTTATATCAACATTTTGTCTCGTCGTTTCCCATATTTCTGTACCTTCTAACTTTCTACCTATTATTTTTGGACTTATATTTGATGCGGTATCATTTAATTTAGTATTTATTTTAAATCTTATTTCTAAAGTACTTAGATTTATATCTAGTAAGATTAAATCAAATATATGAGTTGGCCTTGAACCATGAGTGTCTAAAGATTCGATCGTAGCCTTATAATACGATTGGAAAAAAGTGCTTAGTATAATCTTTAATTAAATAAACACCATAGTTTATAACTAACATACCAATAGATAATTTTTTCCCGATTCAAAATTATTTTGAATTCTTTCGACTAATATTTTATGTATTTCATATTGTAATTCTTTTGATAAGCGACGATATCTAAAAAGTGTTTTAGCTGGAACAAATGATAATATTGCGATTATAATTTCCATTGGAAGCCGTTGAGAAATCGCCATAATTCAATTTTTTTTTTACGATTGAATTGAGACAAAAAAAAAAAGATATGAAATTATTTATGTCAAGTATTCGAATATTATTACAATGGAACTTTTAACAATGTATTCCCGAATATATTTCGTATAACCCCAAATTTTCGTATCACTTTGCTGTCAAAAAAAATATTCTTGTAAATAATCTAAGCCATATATTTTTTTCGTGATTTTAAATATGCGACTTGTGTAATTTCAAGTTTATAATTTAAGTTCGTTCACAATTAGAAATATGCCATTGCCAAAAAAGTGTGTCATAGATTTTAGGGGCTAAAATTTCAACCATCAAAGGGGATCAATTTATAATAAAGATCTGAAGATCTTTATATTATATATTACACAAAAAACGCCATACTATAATCTAATGCAATTTGCACATGAAGGAGCCGATCAAGGTATAAATAATTATTTTTATTAATTTAATTTTTATCAGAGATTAATTGAATCCCATATTCTTTCATTTTTTCCTTAGAAATTTCAGAAGGGCTAAATACTGTTAAATCATTACCAGATGCAGTTTTCGGAAATGCAATTACATTTTTAATCGAATTTGTTTCGCACATTATTGTTAATAATCTATCAAATCCTATAATATATAATAATATTTAGTAAAAAAGCTTAATAAAAATTAATATACTTCCTTCCTACCTATTGCTATTCCACCATGTGGAGGACAGCCATGTCCAAGTGCATTTATTAAGTGTTCAAATCCTTTTATTTCTTCATTGCTTAACTAAAACAATATATTAATGTAATCATTTAAGTTAAAAATTAGCTCTTTTTTTTTTAAAAAAAAAAACAATAAATAGCATGCCTTTAATATTTCATTAAATATTATATATTGTAATTTTGGTGAATGAATTCTTATGGAACCTCCTCCAATTTCTACTCCATTTAATATTAAATCATAATTTTGTCCTTTAACCTATAAAAACATATGAGTTTAAAGCAATAGGAAAGTAATCAATATAATATTTAATTGCATATGCATGCCTTTTCAGGATTTTTAAAAATTAACTCAATATCTTCGGATAGAGGAGCTGTGAATGGATGATGTGTTGAAACCAGCTGTCCAGTATCATCATTATGAGTAAATAAAGGAAATGATTCAATCCAAAGAAAGTTATGCTCCAATGGTGATATATCCAAAATACCTAAAAGAATGGAAACAATTATTATTATATAACGGGATATAAATTATAATTAATACCTAACAAAACTAATAAAATAATACCTTTCAATTGCAAAAGGGTTATGAATTGTGATCGAATTCTTCCTAATAATGTCCAACTTTTCTAATGGGAAAATATTTATTACTAAAATATATATAAATTAATAAAATGAGCTTATAAAAATTTAATGATTAATTAAATTTACTGTAAGATTTTTTTTTCGTTTATTCATAATTACAAAATCTCCAACTTCAATATTAAGTTCTTTAGTAAAAGAATCATATAAATTAGATGAATGCTTCAATAAATGTGAATCAAAAAACCATGAATTTAACTTGTCAGCTTTTATTTTATGGAATTCCTATTTATAAGAAAAATGAAGAAAATTAAAACTTTTTCAAAAAATAACTTGAATAAATCTATACATACACATTTAGCTTTTGAATCTTCTGAGGTATCTAATAACTTTAACGACTCAATTTCACTGTTACTTAATAACGTAATGCCATTTTTAATAACTAAACATTCAACATAATATTCAGATAGAACTGAAAGATCAGATATAAATGATGAAATATCCCTGATCTATAAAAATTTTTTAAAAGAAATTAATATTTACTGAAGAAAATGGGTTACTTATATATTTTACATACTTCCATGCCATAACGTGTATCTGGCTTGTCTGACCCAAACTAAGAAAAATAAGAAATTATATTATTGAAGATTACGATACAAAAACGACTTCATAAATAAAAAGTTACTTTTCTCATGGCTTCATTAAAAGTCATTCTTTGGAATGGTACTTTATTTGTCAGATCTATTCCAAGAACTTTTTTCCAAACTTGTACCAACATTTTTTCAATTAATGATATTATATCATCTACTTTTACAAATGACATTTCTAAATCAATCTATAGAGAAGCATGAGTTAATATTAAGTTAAAATTCAATGAGAGATATAAAAATTTCATTTTTTACTTGAGTAAATTCTGGCTGTCTATCAGCTCTAAGATCTTCATCACGAAAACATTTTGCTATTTGAAAATATTTATCAATTCCTCCGACCATAAGTAATTGTTTATACTTTTTAAAAATGTGAATAATTTTAATAATAAAATAAATGAATAAAGTCAAAAGCACAATAAAAAAAGGTATTAACTTGTTGCGGACTTTGTGTTAATGCGTAAAATAATCCTTTCGTTCTTGTTGGTACTATAAACTCTCTTGCTCCTTCAGGTGTTGATTTAAATAATATTGGTGTTTCGACTTCAACGAATCCTATCAGTAAATTGGTATGAAATTTAGACCATGAAACAAAAAAATTTTTTTATGATTAAATGTTTACCTTCATCCACAAGAAAATCTCTTATAATCCATGATGCAAGTGAACGTTTACGAAGATTATTTTGAAGAGTATCTCGCCGTAAATCAATATATCGATGTTTCGACCTAACTTCCTCACTTGACTATGTTCATTTAAATAAAATATTATATATATTATATTGGCTCAAAACAATAAACAATGTTTAACAACTTACTAATTTTTTATCAGATGGAAGAAATGGCAAAGTATTTGCTGGGTTAAGACAATGTAACTTGTCAATTTCAACCTCAATTTCACCAGTTGGCATATTCTATTATAGAAATTTTTAGTAGTATAGAAAATTATAAAATATTAATTTACCATACTTTACATACCTTATTAATAGTATCTTGAGATCTTTGGATAACAACCCCTTCTACACAAATAACACTTTCTGTTGATAATTGAGAAAGTTTCTCCTGAAGAATCAGATTTGTATAATCAGCCAAGCTGGGTGATCTATATACAAGTTGAGTTGTTCCATATGAATCTCGAATTGGAAGAAAAATCAATTCTGGAGATAACTTGCTGAAATCAAAATAAACACGTTATAATCTAATTTAGTGTTTATTGGTTAGTATATCATTTAAGGTTTAAATTGATAATAGTTATACCGAATTCTTTGTGCCCAACCACTTAACACCACACGTTGATTAACATGACTTGAACGTAAGTCTCCACAAGTGTGAGTTCTCGAAGGAAAAGTTGCTATAAAATTATTTTATAATATTAAATAAATTATATAATTTATTATCGTGATCAAGTGATTTTTTACCTTGTAAATTGACGGATTGATCAATATCTGTTTGCTTTTGATACGAATTTGTATAAAACCTTAATTTATTAGTTGAATGTCGTCTTTTTATTAAACAGTTTATTAATCGATTAACGATCATTTTGAGGAAAATATTCAACTCGATAAATTATATCGATTATCTTTGTGTTATACTTGATTTAGTGCATTTAATTTAATTTACCAATTGCATTTATGACCGATCGACAACAGAATTCTAACATTTTTTGGGATATTCTAAACAATTTCTTTTTTATTAAAAGAAATCAAATGGAATTAATACACTATTCTTATGCTAGAGTTGGTCTGATGGGGAATCCATCAGATGGATATTATGGAAAAACCATATCTCTCTTAATTTCAAATTTTTTTGTTAAACTTACTTTAATTCCAAATCATTTAAAAGAAAATAGTAAAATTTCTTTTCTTAAGAATGGGGATTCCAATAATGATTGTGATTTATCATTCGATTCTTTAAATTCTTTAGTTGGCATATCTAAAAGTAAGGGATATAATAAAGAAAGTTGTTTATTACAAGCTACTTGTAAAGTATTTTCAGAATATTGTTCGAAAAATAATATTGATCTTCATAACCAAGGGTTTTCGGTTCATTTTAATACAAATATTCCAAGACAAGTTGGTTTTGCAGGTTCTTCTGCTATTATAACAGCTTTTTGGAAAGCTTTAATGAATTTTTATAACATTTCTGATGAAAATATTTCGTTACCTATTCAAGCAAATTTAATACTTTCGGTTGAAAAAGATGAATTAAAAATTTCGGCCGGATTACAAGATCGTGTAGTCCAAGTTTACGGCGGTTTAGTGTATATGGATTTTAATAAAGATCAAATGATTAAACATGGTTTTGGCATATATGAAAGATTAGATATTAATTCATTACCAAAAGGTTTATGGATTGCTTATGAATTAAATCCTAGTGATTCTGGTAAAATTCATAGCGATGTGCGAAAAAGATATGAAAGAGGAGATCAAAAAGTAATCGATGCGATGAAACAATTGATATCATTTACTGAACAAGCACGTAACATTTTAATACACAAGAACGAATCGAAACGAAGAGAACTTGCTAAACTTATGAATAAAAATTTCGAATTAAGACGCGAAATTTTTGGAGATCAAATTTTAGGTCAAACGAATTTATTTATAATTGAATTAGCTAGAAAGTATAACTTTGCTGCTAAATTTACTGGTTCTGGTGGCGCTATATTGGGACTTTGGAATGGTGATGATGATGATTCAACAATTCTAACGAACATTGAAAAATTAAAAAACGAATTAGAAAAAAAAGAGATTCGTTTTTGTTGGTTAATTCCACAAGAATGAACATTAAATATATTATTAGTAATTTATTATCGTAAATGTTATATATTACCTATAGATATTTCTCATTAATTTAGGCAAATATCGTTATAACGTAATTTAATTAAATCAACATGATATAATATAATAATAAAATCCGTTTAGATAACCACTTTTTACAAAATTTTATTTTTACTAAATATATTTAATATAAAATTTTATCATTAATCTTTAACTAGAATTAAAATAATTAATAATATGAAAAAAAATTTATTATTATATACAAAAATTTTATTTATTATTATTATAAAATGTTATAAATAAAACATTAACAAGTACACATGAATGAGTAAAATGACAAATGGCAAATTAATTTTATGTTACCAGTCCGTAGGCAACGGAGTTAACTGACACGGTTTTTCTGGGTAACGTTCATTATATAGTGTAACGACATCAGACTCATATAAACGAACATCGTCCAATTGATTACCAAGTGTCATCCATCCAGGACGTGTGTTATGTTGGCGACCAAAAATTTCTAGTTTTCGTGTGCCTGGAGCCAAACGATCGATTAAGCCATAGACCTCATCCGGTTTACGACTTGTCTCTCGAACCTTTATAATTGAAATCAGAAGCATTTATTTATTCATTCATTTTTTCCGCAATTGACATTATTGAAACAATATAAGAAACTTACCTCTCCAACCAATACATCACAATCGAGTCCCCAATTTAAACCTTCAGGATTGCCTTTGATTCCAACGAGGCAATGTTCTTTGCTGTGATTTAACCAATGACCTGTTCTACCGGTTCGAATGAGTCTCTGTAATTGATTAGTCTTGATCCAAACAAGCTCATCAGCACGATCGTACCTAAATGTATATATAAATTATTCAGCATAAGCACATAGATGAATTCTTCCTGCAGAACATGATAATTATGTAAAATTTACCCCCAGATGGACAAGCATTCTCTTCCAAGTTCCATCGCCCTTCCGGTAACCCACAAGAATATTAAACCATCATCCTGCAAATCAGCAATTGCCATAGCTTTCATTTCATCATCAGTCATAGTTCCATATGGGAGCTAAATATACATTAAATTCATGCTACCGCATTAAGATTGTTTTAACTTTCGTATAGCTTACCGTCATATGAATATCCCACGGCGGATCAGCCATAATAACAGTAAATTTTCCCAGAATAGAAAAGTCAAATTTTCGTACATCACAATTAATCCATTGTGGCGGGCGCTGAATTAAAATTTACAATTTGATAAATAAGTAATAAATAATTTGGATTAGGCGAAACAAAAAAAAAAAAAATTTACTCACAACTTTGGTTGGTGGTGTAAAAACCTTAATAAAATATTTTCACGCATTAGTTCAAAATTGTATTTTACTAAGCTTAAATAACAAACAAGCAATTCGTTCAATACTTGCCACACCAGGTGGAATTTGTCTCCTCTTCTTATATATCCAATTTTTCTCATCATCATCAAGTTCGTAGTGAACATATTTACAAGTATCCATACGATGACAAGTGTTCAAATAGGAACAATCTCCAAGTTCCAATTCCGTATGAGGACGAAGCATTGGTTTAAAATGAAGCTGTTTATAAGTTGAGTTAATAAAGATGATCGTGTAACTTCATTTTATGCAAGTTATGACAAACTAACCCTGTTACATGCTCGAGTTGTTGTCCGATGTTTTCTACAATCAGCTTTCGTACCATATACACAGAATTCTCGGAATGAATTATTAGTTGATCGAAACTAATAAGAAAAACATAAATCGTAAAATTCAAAGAGAATAGATTTGCAATTTCTTATTGATCAATATACCATTTCAACTATCAATTTATCTTTAGATGATCTTTTATTTAACATTACGCACAAATCGTATAGAGATTTATTCTCCTCGACTTCTTTAAATGAAGGTTTATCGAGAAGTTCGTTAATTTCCTTTAACGCTAACAATTGGTAAAATAATTTAATTATTTTCATATATGATTTTGTTCTTTGAAATTTTGGGCTATTAATAACTCGAAAATTTACCAGTATCATCGGTTAATTCTTCAATTTTGCGTTTCTTATTACCATTAACAGAAATTGTCATCTGCAATGACTTATCAAGCAATGAAGGATCATTCAATTCTAAAGAACTAAAATAACATACCCTCTTAGAATTTGGTCTTTTGGTTCGATATAAAATAATTTTATTAAAATTAACAAATCTAACCTTTCTAAAACGTTTACTACGCTTAATTTTTCAATTTCAACTTTTTCCACCATTAACTTATTATGTTTGTTAATTTGTTTCTCTTTAACTAACATGACATTAGGTCCCCATGTTTTTGACAATGTCCTTAATGCATTTTCAAGATTATTTAATGATTTTTTTGTAAAGGGAATAGTCCGAGTAATTTGCCAAGAAGCAAGTCTATTTTATAGTACAAGCAATTCAGTTAGAAACCTGTTATAATAAAAGTCAATAATTAATTTATCGCAGACTTTACCTTTTCAAAAGCTCATAAGAACTCATTGGGAACGTGCTTTTGCTATGTAAATTGTTTGTAAAATAATCACGTACAAATTTCTCGTACTCTATAATAGACGGCACAAGTGAGTTTGACTCAAGAGAAGGCGACTCAGCCTGAGTGGTTGTAGAATAGAGTTCATTTGTAGTTTTTGCTTCTAAAGAACTTCCGTTTTCAAAATTAAAATCCTGTCCACGACCTCCAATGCGAACTTTACCACTTCTTAGTTTATCCCTAAGTTGTTTCAACTCTTCTAAAGTTGTTATTTCCATTTTAAGCCAAAAGAATGGTACTTTACTTGCCTTTTTACTTTTTGGCCCAACGTAATCACGTGCACTGGACAAACCATGTGATAACACTGTTTGAGTGTCCTTAAAATAGACCGGGGTTCAGGTTCTTATCCTAGACCGCAACTGTATTAATCACGTGACGATTACTCTGAAAAAACTTATTTATATAGGGGGTTTAGGATAAAGAACCTGGACCCCGGTTCAGGATAAATTTGTCCGGTTATGCCGCTCTAAAAACTTTAATTAACATTCCACTTGTTCCTGCTTTTATATAGCCAACAATATCTAGTATATATGGCAAATATATTTATAGTTAACTTTTACTGTGATATTAAATTATCTCTATAAATATTAATTGTGACGAATTTATTAATTATGACGAATTCGAATTATTACAGTGTTCCCTCAATATCACAAATGGAAGAGTGGGCAAGGTAAATTGATTAGAGATGAAATTATTGATAAATTTCTAGATTTCATATCAAAAGAAGGTTTACATTTAATAATTTATAGAGTGCAAACAGAATTAAAATCAAAATTGATAGAAACTGACGATTTAAAATTTACAAAGACAATTAAGGAGGAAAATGGTGAACAAATTGTAGAATTCGATGAGTTAAGTTATATCGGAGGAGTTGATCTTAGCTTTGAAAATAACGAAGAGAACGCTATTGCATCTTTGATTGTTTTAAAATACCCAAGCTTAGAAGTATGCCTTTATTTATAACAAAATTACATTATTATTTTGAAAATTAATGAATTATATTCTTAGGTGATTTATGAAAATTTCTCTTCTGTAAAATTAAGTCTTCCTTATATCGCTGGATTCTTAGCTTTTCGCGAAGTTACTCCTTTACTTGATTTACTTCGGAATTTGAAAAAAACGAACCCTGATATATTTCCTCAAGTAATAATCGTTGACGGAAATGGGACATTACATCCAAGAAGATTTGGTTTGGCAAGTCATTTAGGCGTTCTTGCAAATGTTCCTACAATTGGTGTTGGAAAGAATTTTTTACAAATTGATGATGGTGAAAATTTGACAATGGCACATGTAAAAATGGCAGTAAAAGAAAAATTGAAGAAAGGTGGCGACACATATCTTCTTCAAGGACAATCTGGAGTGATTTGGGGCGCGGTATGTATAAAAAAGCGCGCACAAATATATTTGAGATTAATTAATTTCATATTCTACTTCCTAAAGGCTGTTCGAAGTCTAGATAATACTACAAACCCAATTTTTGTCTCTGTCGGTCATAGAATAAGTCTTGATACTTCGATACAAATTGTGCTCAAGTGTTGTCGATATCGTATACCGGAACCCACTAGACAAGCTGATATTCGTTCCCGTGAATTCATCCGAAACCACACTTCAGATCAAAGTGTACAATGACATAGAGTGTTATAGCTTCGCTTGAAGCATAAATTAAAAGGTTTTATTTTCGATACGCTGTTAAAAAGTGAATCTTCGTTTACATAATTGAAATTACAACTACTATTACACACTATGTATTTTTAAAAAATCATTTAAAATGAAATTCGACAAATAAAGATAACAAACTAAACTTCTTTATCTTGTAAATTTGCTATTATCATTATTTGTGATTGTCCTATTCACGTTGTAAAGTTACCGAAATGATATCCGACTCAATAGTTTCTTCTTTCTCTTTTTTTGAATTACCACTTGCTGTTCTTATATTAGGTTGACAGATCCAGTATGGAAACATCTTAAACCCATTTTCATCTTTACGAATTTCTGAAACTTTGTTAGACTCCTCCGCAGTTTTCTGTAGAAAATCATTTCCGTTAAGACGATGAATCCGAGAATTTATCACGACGACCAAAGAATATATTTACCGTTAACCTCTCTCGCAATTCCTCTGATAAAGCAAACATTTCTTCAAGGGTATTAACTTTAGCTAATTGTTCTCTTATGTCTGTGTGATATGGGAGAGCTGGTCGATAAATCTTAAAAAGATGGCCTCTTATATAAGAAATTTTAGTTGGAACAGTTTGACAGATTTCCAAATACTCCTTAGCCATTTGCCATACTGGAGGATTAATGCCAGCAAATATAGCCGGATTGTATAAATTACCCTCAGCAGACATAACTCCATCAACGCCAGTTGCATCTAAGCATCGCTGAATATCTTCAAAATAAAGTATATTTCCGTTGGATATAACAGGGATTTTGAGAGCTTCTCTGGAAATCACGAGAAATTTCTGTCTGTTAGTTAAAAATCATTTCTACGTATCTTTATAAAATCTTACAGTTTTTTCATCATTACTCCCTACAATAAGCTCTCCAAGTGTACTCAACCAAATATTGAATGAATAAATTTCATTGTAAAGAGTAATTAAATAAAACTGCAAAAGATTCGAACTCAATCTATTTAAATAAAAAATATAATAAATGAAATATAATATAAATGGATATTAATCATACTACCCCTTATATATACATACTTAACTTTACGAATCTGTTCCCAATCAGCTAAACCAGTCTTGTGACCTTTTTGTTCACGTACTCGACCATGTACTGTCAATAACTGTGCGCCAGCACTTTCTATCATCTTGGCGTATTGTATTGTTTTCTCTACCTCCGGAAAAACACGTATTTTAGCTGTTACGGGAATAGACAGATTTTTATGAAGTATATTTACTACAGAAACATATTAAACAAATGTTAAATAGAAGCGTCCAAAAAAAAGCTGATCATAAGTATAGAACTCACTTAAATTAAAAATCAAATTCCATTCATCTTGTAAAAAAGAACCATAATGTCCACGCCTAGCAATATGCTGCGGACAGCCTAAATTTAGATCAACCGCATCACATTGATCTTGTACTTTTAAAGCAGCTTTGAACAATATCTCTGGGTCATTCGCGCAAAACTGTTTAAAAAATAGCTTACTACACATAATTTAAAAAAAGAAACCGAAAATATTGATATATGAAAGCTTACCTGAGCTATTAATGGACGATCATATTTTCCGGTGGACCATACATCGGTCCGATATTGTTTATTACTTTCGTCACAAAACATTTTGGCGTGAATCATTGGAGTATAGCAAACTTGAGCACCATAACGACGCGACAAAATACGCCATGCATATTCAGATTGGTCGACCATAGGTGCTAAAATATAATTTGGGCTTCCGAGAACTTTTTGATAAAATTCATACCCTTGAAGTTTTTGGCGGGAAGACATTTGTTAGAAATGTAATTTATTGAAACAAAACTGCTGGTGAATCTAAATAAGATCAGCAGCAAAATGATTGGATATCTGATATCTGATATGATTAGTAAGTAAATTTGATTAGATGTCTTTGTCCAAGTTTTTTAAAAAATGTTCACTCTTTATGTATGGGGTCCAGGCTGGGACCTTCCTTCTATTGACCCAGGTTGTTTGACAGTAATTGTTTACTTTCAACTTCTCGTGTCAGAAGAATGGGGGATCATTGAATGTAATAACCCAAATATCTCCCCAACGGGTATTGACCTTTTCCAGTCTTTTATTATTATAAGGTGTTATATTATACTAAAAAACCACATTATCAAATTTTCAACTTCTCAAGGTGAATTACCAGTATTGAAAGACGGAGTGGAATGGATTGCGGGTGTAAACAACATAATTAGATATATGAAAAGAAAAGGGTTTGACGCAGACGAAAATTTGACAACCAGACAAAATGCTGATAGCGTTGCGCAAGTATCTAATGTTTGCACTACATTTTCACTGATAAATTTGTCAATTTCTATTAATTTTTTTATATAGATATGTGTCCCTTGTTGAAGATGGAATCTATGATTCTTTGGTAAGTTAATATAATTAGAAAAGATTATTGACTTACTAATATAATGATTATCATACTTAGTTATATTTATGGTACGCGGACACCAAAAATTTCACGCAAGCAATAAGTCCTCTTTACGGAAGACTTCTTGCCTTTCCAATAAATTATTATATACCCAATCAAATGCGAGAGATTGCTAAAACAAGATTAGAAAAATATGGTGTTATTTCCGTTGGAGATCAGGGTTTTCTCGTGGATAAAGAACTAAAGGTTTGAATTGATTTTTTTTTTGCAATTCACTATTTTGTATACCGATATTTATAGTTGATTTCGTATAGATGTATAAAGCTATAAGAAAATCCTATAAGGTATTATTGGACAAAATTCAGGATAATGAATTTTTCCTTGGGAATAAGTAAGTTTAAGGAAAATGTATATATTGTTTACTATTTATGAGCATTCTGATAATTTATTAAATTATCATAATAACAGCCTCTCTACACTAGACATAATGGTATATGGGCATCTAGCAACTCATCTATATTCAGATCTCCCAAATCCAAGCCTAGCTATTATTCTTCGTACAGAATTTCCTAGGCTTGTAATATTTTGCGATCGCATGAAAGATCGACTTTCTGAAAAGGAAATTATTAAATTCCCAGCCAATGACCTTCCATCCGTCTTCACAGGAATTTTCAGATCTCCCCGTGCATGGTTTAATAACACGCTCTGGCAAGCTAGAGACGTAGAAAAAGAAGAAAAATCTCAACCCCAAAAGGATTTTGAGAGAAAAAGAATTATATCAATTACTGGTGCAATTCTATTTATGGTCACTTATGTAATCTGGAATAAAATCGTTAGTATAGAAGTTATTTCCGAGAAAGACGACAAAGAAGAAAATGAATATTATGATAATAACGACAACGACAACGACGACGACGACGACAACGACGACGATGACGATGATGATGATGATGATGACAATGAGTAAAGTTTGATTTGAGTAATATCAGAAAATTTATTATCTTTTTCACTTGTTTCATTATGTAAAGATACACATGAACTACAAATTAATAGAATTGGAGTCCAAAATAAATAAAAAAAAAAACGAAAAGTGTATACTTATATTTCTCTCGTAATGTTAGAAATATGATATTCATTCTGATATTTGCTATCCAAAAATGTACAGATATATCTAATGGTGCCCATGACCTTCGTTTTCACTACCAATAAAATCAAGTTTGAATATTTGACCACATTCAGGGCATCTGTCAAATTCATGATTTTTATCAACACCTAACCAAACTGTCTCATGAGAATCAACAGGGAACCCTATGGAATAAAAAATTACTTTGATTTCCTTAAATTAAAATTTAAAAATAAATACTTATAAGAAGGCATACCAGTACAGCCGACAAAACGTACAGGATCCACACTCTTTACCATAACAGGGTCCTTTTTTGTACCCACTGCAGTAATTTTCAAAGGACTAAGGTCGTATATGTCCTTGCCTTCTAACTTACTTAGTAATTCAGCACGTTCGATACCAGTAGCTTGATCTATGTCATCAGCAACGGTACCCGGCTTTGCACCGGGACCAAAAAAGTTGCTACTCAATTCTAAAATCAAAGGTATTAGATTTAATTATCAAATTAAAAAAACTATCCAATTAAATTAAATAACATTTTCCCAGTTTTGATACAGCTCATTTATCTCTACATATATTAAAAAATTGAAAGTTTGGTTCACCTCCAAAACGAGGACTAAGGACCGAGAATGCTCTAGCTTTTGAAGAATGAGGTTGCCTAATAACGCCTCTAGAAACTATTGTCCTTACTGAACCAACTGTACTACGAAGAGCTGAAGACAACATAGCTTTATTATGAAGTAAGAAAAAGAGCTCAAATAAAAAAAAAAATGGGCGGATCAACTTTCAACCAATTTCATATGATCAACCATCCATCTGGCCGTCAATTGGTTGTAATAATCATGTTTTTGATTCTGGGTAGTAAGAAAGACAGTTTTTGCGCTAAAAAAACAATTTAGTTCATTGACGGCAGATAAATAAGAACTTTTTATGCTAACAAAGCACTCTAAATTTAATAATATTTAAAAATGACGAATTCGAATACACAGAATTAAAATTAAAATTGATGATTTTGAATTAGATTCAACGAGTTAAGTTTTATTAGAGGAGTTCGAAGATTTTGGGCAATCATGTTTCTACAAATAGTGTTAGAAATATTTTTAAAATTGATGATAGTGAATAGCACGTATAAAGCAGTAATTAAAAGGTATGCATTTTCTTCAAGAATCTGAAATGATTTGGGGCGCAGTATTAAAAAAATGAGCATAAAAATCTTTGAATTTCATTAATTTCATAAATACCGCAAATCCGATTATTGTTTCAAGTGTTTTGTATACCGGAACCCACTAGTTAAACTGATACTTGCTCTCGTGAATTTATCTGAAATCGCATTTCAAGGTAAATAATTATTTTAATGTTTTGATAGTTTTTATGCAAGGATAATCATATTATAAAACAAAATTTTGCATTACAGAAAATAGTGATAATTGGATTTATTGTTAATGTATTACAACATTTGAGTATTATAAAAGATAAAAATTTTATTAAAATAGTAAATGGATTTGATTTTTATTATAAAGTATCTTGTATAAAAACTCTTAAAAATTGAATTTCATCAGCATATATATTAGTATATGATGTAGGTACAAATAAACTTAAAAATCAATTTTACAATTAGAAAATATTTCTTTAACATTAGATACATGAAGTTCATCAGCATATATACTCTATTTAGATATTACAGCACATTGGGTGACATCTAAATTTGAATTATATAATAATGAATTACTTCTCAGTATAAAAAAACTTTCATATCCACATGGTGCAACTGAAATTCAGGAACATTTGATTGATTTGTTTAGTAAATGGAAAATTCATTTAAAAATTACAGCTATAGTGATTGACAATAATTCAAATGTAAAGAAAAGTATACAATAATATGGAAATAGGTAAAAGAAAGTCAATAAAGTTTAGATTATCCTATATAAAATAATTTGAATTGTTTAATAGGGATAGTTTGCTTATAATATAATAAGAGATGTAAAAAAATATTTGGAAAAAGATAAAATTATACATTTTTTTATTTTAATATTTTATAATCACACTTTTTATTATTTTAGAAAAACTGCATGGAAAATTTCTTGTGTTATTCATACATTCCAGTTAAGTATTGGAAAAGAATTGGATATAGCAAAAATATTAATTTAACAAATACAAATATCTTATTGCTTTTTTAGCAATGATAAAAAAAAACAACAATTAAGAGAATTATAAATTTACTTATATTAGTAACAATAATTACAAAAAGATGAAAAAAAATTAGAAAAAGAAACAGATGAACTTGTTTTTTTTTGATGTAGTAAAAGCTGATAACACCTGCTGGAATTTAACATTATATGCATTTCAAAGACTTATTATTCTTAAACCAGCAATTTCAATGTTGAAAACTTTTTTAATTAATAATAGAAGTTCACGTATTCACAAGAAGGGTGAAAAATTAAAAGAGTTATATCCAATTGCAAATGAATGGAAAGTAATTAAAGAAATGGTAAAACTTTTAAGTCCTTTTGAAAGTGTAACATGCCTTTTAAATGGTATAACATATCCAACTATTGGTTTAACATATTCAAGTTTATATAATTTGAAAGAAATACTTGAAATTAAATTTATTTAATTAGAAACTGAAGTAGCAGAAATAGTAGAAAAGCAATCTTAGAAGATTTATAAAAAAGATGAGAATTTCCTCAAAAACTTTGTTTAAAAGGATTATTTTTTGATCTTTGTTTTAAAAGCTTAAACTTTGTTTTCCAAAGAATGCATGATAAAGTCACTAACTAATTGCAAACAGAATATGAAGTTCTTAAAGAAACTATGATTCCTAGTATTCCTGTAAGATCTAATGAAAATCAGAATAATTTAATAACAATGGGTAACTTTTGAAAGAAAAAAAAAATGAAAGAAATGTAACTCCAATAAAGAATGAAATTCAGCATTATCTCAATTTACCAGAATTGCCAGCTCTTGAGGAGTATATATGGTGGGTAACAAACAAAGCTCAATATCCTATATTGCATAAAATGGCAATGATCTTTCCATTCTGGCTACCTCAGTACCATCAGAAAGGGTTTTTTCTGATGCAAATAATTTAGTTACTCCTCAAAGAAATTGCCAGCATCATTAATAAAATTATGTTTTTAGAAAACATGTGGATTTATTTGGGTGAAAAAATAACTGATTGGTTTGGAAACGAATTTTAAAACCTTGAATTTTTTTGATAAGTTTGTAGTAAACAATTCAATATATCTAAATAAATAAAAACATTATAAAATAAATAGATTAGTTAAATCACTTGAAATTTCGTGCTGCGAAATTGCTGCGCCACAAATGCATTTAAAAAATGATGTATATAAATTCCAGCTTAGATTCGATTAATCGAATCGCCAAATCGAATCTTAGATTCGATTAATCAAATCTTTAATCGATTCTCAAGATTCGATTTTCGATTGAATCGATTCTAATCCCTACACCGAAAGATGAAATAAAATATTTAAGTCATATATGTATATTATTCTATTTTATTTAAACCAATTTGTTTAATCTTCATTATAGAAGCCATAACGAAATATTACCGGCACATTACGCCAATTTGACGTTACATAATTTATAAATCAAAATTTCTTATTTCAGTTTTAATTACGCCCCATGTATATCTTGAATAACATTCGAATATTTTGTGACGTACATTCTCCGAAAATATTTATTATGATATATTCTTGCTTCTCGAACATTTGTAACTCTGTAATAAATTACATTGGCATGGTAAATGAAGTTTCGAGTCAAATCAATTAAGAATATGCAAAAATGACAAATGTAAGCACAAGTTTCAAGTATGACTTTCAAAATAATTTAGATAAGGACATACATGCACCATGAAATTTGAATTCGCTTCTTATCACTACCCACAGGGTGTAACAGATAAAATATGGAATTGAAAAAATCATTTATATACAATTTTCATATGGATCATATGGATAAAAAGAAATTCTAATCTCTTGATCAATAATCGAATTGAAAAATTCGATTGTCTGAGCTAATTACGTAAAATAATCATTAAAGAAAATTCCAGAAATTTTAACGAGTATCCGTTAGAGAAATTCTTCACATGATTTACTTGATGATCAATGATAACCTAGATAAAAATTGCCAATCATTGTTGATTAGTAATAAAAAAAAAGATTCCGTAAAATCCCGATTAACGATTAAATTGATTAAATTGATTCGAATTTTTTTTCTTTTTCAAGGTATCCCCAGATCCATTCAGTTAAACATTTAGGGAATTTAGTTCGCATTTATATTTTCCTCGATTGATATTTGTTTTATTTTTTTTTAATAAAAAAAAAAATTCATATAATTAAGGGACTACTATTTGTAAAAGAAAATTTTTTTTTATCAGATGTGATACGACTGTAAAAGTTTTACATCAGATAAATTATATTTAAAGGGTCAGATTCCGATTTCCTTTTAACTGTTTTTTAAACAAAACAAAGTTACCCCTTGAAAAAATTGCCCAGCACGTTCTCCAATCTACTTTTTTCACTACACAATCCTCACAGAGGACAGAAAAATAGCAGCAAATACAAAATTAATCCTCTATAATATGCCTCCAAACATAACTGACTCACTTCCCCTTGGACCTGTTCCAACGTATAAAGTTATCTCCCCGAATGTCCGCTACACCGATATGCATATTCTTGCGGACTATACTTATCATAATGCCACCGTCTCTAAAAACGAGATTGATGGTACTTTAAAAGTTATTCCGACCGAAACAAAATACAAATTTAAGACCGAAGTTAACATCCCTAAAGTGGGGTAAGTTTTTGTTTATATTCATTTTTTTTATATCAATTTCGACAATCTATTTACTCCGGTAATTTCCAAATTTGTGTTGAAAAGATTTATATGGAAAATTGACAAGTTGGGGTTGATATGAATGTAATATGTAACTATCCAAAAAAGTCATTTTTATCCGAGTTTTGATATAACACGTGCGATTTTATTAACATTTACTTTTAAAATTAAAAATTAAAAAAGGTTAATGATGGTTGGATGGGGAGGTAATAATGGCTCCACCTTAACCGCGAGTATTATTGCTAACCGTGAAAAAATTTCGTGGCACACCAAGGAAGGTCTTAAATCTGCCAATTATTTCGGTTCAGTCGTTCAAGCTTCCACTCTCAAAATAGGTGTAGACACTAAAGGAAATGATGTTTTCATTCCTTTTAATAATATATTACCAATGGTTCATCCCAATGATCTTGTACTTGGTGGTTGGGACATAAGCTCTCTCAATCTCGCACAAGCTATGGAACGTGCTAAAGTTCTTGATTATGATCTTCAACGTCAAGTCAAACTGAAACTCGAACAACTAAAACCGTTACCTTCTATTTATTATCCTGATTTTATTGCCGCTAATCAGAGTGATCGTGCTGATAATCTTATTTCTGGAAATAATAAAAAAGAACACCTTGAACAAATTCGTAAAGATATTCGTGAGTTCAAAGCAGCCAATCAGCTCGATAAAATCATTGTCGTCTGGACTGCTAATACTGAACGTTATGCTGAAATTATCCCAGGCGTGAATGATACAGCAGACAATATTCTGAAAGCTGTTGAAAATAGTCACCCGGAAATTGCACCATCCACAATTTTCGCTTTGGCTTGTATTCTTGAAAAGACTCCCTTCATTAATGGATCACCTCAAAATACGTTTGTCCCCGGCTGTATTGAACTTGCAGAACGTGAACATGTTTATATTGGAGGAGACGATTTTAAATCTGGCCAGACAAAAGTCAAGTCTGTTTTGGTTGACTTTTTAGTGAATGCTGGCATTAAACCAATTGGGATCACGTCTTATAATCATCTTGGCAATAACGATGGTAAGAATTTGTCTGCACCACAACAATTTCGATCAAAAGAAATTTCAAAAAGTAATGTTGTTGATGATATGGTTGCTGCCAATGGAATCCTTTTTAAACCTGGCGAACATCCCGATCATGGTAAGTGATCCATGAAATATTTCCTTATTTTGATTGTATCTAATTAATTTGCTTAATTATTTCGTAAATAGTTGTCGTAATTAAGTATGTACCAGCAGTCGGTGATTCAAAACGAGCTCTTGATGAATATGTATCAGAAATTTTCATGGGTGGAAAGAATGTGAGTAGTAAAAATGGTTCCTCCTTAATGCAGACAATCCAACTAATCTCATTATCGTTGTTAGACAATTTCATTATATAATACATGTGAAGATTCGCTCTTGGCTTCTCCACTCATTTTGGATTTGGCCATTATCACCGAATTAATGACACGCATTGAATATTGTGCCGGAGATATGAAAGAATATGAATCTTTCGATGCAGTTTTATCCATATTGAGTTTCATGTTAAAAGCTCCTTTAGTACCACCAGGAACTCCAGTTGTTAATGCCTTAAGCAAACAGCGTATGGCAATGGAAAATTTTTTCCGTGCATGTGTTGGATTGGCTCCCCAAAACGAAATGCTTTTGGAGCACAAAGCTCCAGTTAAAATTTAACTTGCCCGATCTAGTGGTATAAAAAATTTCTGATTGTGTTTGGATATTTCATTCTTACCCTATTTAATAAAATGATTATTTATGATTGTGTTCGATAACATTATTTGAATTAATGATTTGATCATGAGATTTGGCGGGGCTAACCGTAGTTACAATTTAGGTATAGATTTTCAACTTGCAATAAAACTGATATCAAAAAGGCAATAAAATGTGCGACTCTGTCATTATTATGTAAGTTTTGCTTTTAATAACAGAAAAAAGTGATGCAGGAGGACTCTTTTTTTGGCATTAATGTTCTAGATTATCTGTCTAATTAATGACGTTTAATATCGTATCTTTAATCTAAAGTTCTATTTTTTTTTTGGTTAGATTGTATTAATTATTGTTTTTTTTTTTTACGGGTTAACTTTATTAAAATATTTTATAATGTTACATTTTTAATCAGGCCATATTATTATTATATATATATTTTTACTGACAAAAATGTTCCTTAATTAAGTAAAGTATTATTTTGTTTATTTTGCTAAATTTAACCAGTTATTTTGCCAAGAAAAAATGACATGACAACAGGCACGAAAATTTAGCTAAATATGTAAATATAATTCGAAAGATATAATTAAATATAAAATGTGTTTTCTTTCACTTTTTTATTAGAAGAAATAATTATGTCTTCAACAAGCGCAACAAATGTAACAAACGCTAATGATTCTAATCTACAAGGTTTTGATGGATTGGTAACCATGCAGGTTCGTAAAATTAACATTCCAGTATTAAGATACTGTGCAAATGAACTCTTTTTCTGCTTTAATAATAGCCGGTGAGTGTGCAGCAAATGCAACCTTCTTATGCCGCTGAATTTCCAATAGAAGATAATACTCATACTTTTTATGGCGGTATGCTTAACTTTCTTGGAGCACTTTGTGGTTTCATTGGTTCGGTAGGTTACATGATTCTTTTGATCCGCAGTATATAAATTCTTTACGTTTCTAAATTTGAATTATGAATTAAATAGATACCTATATGTCCATGCTTTCCCAATCCTTATAAAAAAGTTGAACAAGGTTATGTTGGATTAATTTCTCAATTTGGTAAAAATAATTCCACTTTATTAAAAAAAAAACAGATTACCACTAGAATATTAAAATTTTTTTTTCTTTTATAAAAAAAACCAGGTAAATTTTATAAATTTGTTGACCCTGGCTTGGTTAAAGTAAATGTGTTCACCGAGGATATTCTTAGAGTTGATATTAAAGTAACTATAATATTATTTTAATAAAATAATTTTTGATAATTCATTCACATTGATATATCTGAATTGATAGATTCAAATCACAGAAATCCCGCATCAATTTATTATGACAAAGGTAATAAATAGATATAAATATGTATATATATATATTTGAATAAATAATGTATATTATATGTAATTTAGGATAATGTATACGTTCAAATTTATTCGGTAATCTATTGGCATGTAATTAATCCTTACAAATCAGTATTTGGTATTGCGGATGTTCGTAAGGCTCTTATCGAACGGTTAGTTATATTAATTTCGTGTTATCTTTAATTTGCTTAATTAACCTCGTCAATTTTTTTTCCCAACAAATTAGTACACAAACTACACTGCGCCATACTCTTGGTACACGTGTTCTTCAAGATTGTATTGAAAATCGTGAAGCAATTGCTTACGAAATTAAAGAGATTATTGATGAACCTGCTAGTAATTGGGGGGTTAAAGTAAATATTCCAGTTTTTTTTTGTTTTTTTTTAACCTTTTTAATTTTGTATGAACATTCTATAGGTTGAAAGTATTTTGATTAAGGATATCGAGTTTTCTAGAGAATTACAAGAATCCCTTTCGTCAGCTGCTCAGGCAAAGAGAATTGGTGAAAGTAAAGTTATTGCCGCACAAGCTGAGGGTAATTAACTGTTTTACATAATTGCCTTTTTTTTTTTAAAAAAAAAAAAACATTTTCATCTTCACTTACTCTCATTTTTTTTTTTATAATAGTTGATGCTGCTAAATTGATGAGACAGGCCGCAGAACTTTTGAATTCACCAGCCGCTATGGTAAGTTTTTTTATATAATGATGTACGAATTTAAGTATCTTTTACTAAAGTTTAATTATCTTTTCTTTTATATTAATTAGCAAATTCGATATCTTGAAACAATGTCATCAATGTCCAAAGCTTCAGGAACAAAAGTTATTTTCATGCCATACAGCACAAATGATGGGTCATATGGTGGGGATGGTTCTTCAAGTAATTCTAAGGTTGATCCTGTTAAGGCTTCCGTTTATGAACGACTTGCTGAACATTAGATTACTTAATGTTATAATTATAATTATTATTTAAGCCATAGAACGAGCAAAAAAATAGGTTGAAATTTTATTAATTATTTAACGATTTCATGAATTTAATGATAAATGTGTATTAAAATAATGCGAAATAATTAAAAAAAAAATGTGTATATATAACTTAATAAAAATATATTATCATACAACTAACGAATTAAGTAATAATATTATGTCATAAAAATTAAAAAGTTTGGTATGCGTTATTTACATTGTATAATAAGTTGGTAGTTTAATCTATGGTTTGGTACGAAGGTACATAATTCCAACCAACCCTGAATAAAATACCTGATAATAAAATGTTAATAACGGAAGAGATATTAACAAGTAAAAAGCTAATATCATATTTAACCCCATAATAGAATTTATCAGAAGTATAATAAAGATGCGTAATTAGTGCGATTGTAGAATATTGAAGAATCGCTGTACGAAAAAAAGAAAGTATTTAGTAAAAGTTTATTTTAAATTCTTTTTAATTAAAAAAATAAAAAGTTACCATGAAATCCAATTAAACCAACAAAAATTTTCCAAGCAATTTGTTCCTTATGAAATTTGCCACTAAAAAACACACCAAGACAATAAATTAAAGTTAAACCGCCTAACACGGCCGCAATAATCATATTAATCCTAGCTGCTTTCCATTCCTCACAAAATCCTTCTTCCTCACAATCTCCAAACTCAATCAAAGGAAATTCTCTGCAATGTGTATCTAATGTTGAACATTTCTTTTAGAAAAAAAAATTTTTTAATATATAAATATTAAAATAAAAATATTTGATCTGAAAAAAAAAGATAAAATATTATTTACTTGAAATAGACCATAATTTGTTACGGCTCTATGCGGTCTTGGACTTTCGAAAATTAACCTTTGATCAAAATAAAAAAAAATTGTTATTATTTACGAAACCCCGAATCTTCTGTCTTAACAGTTCCATTGAGAGAACGGCCACATCAGAAACTTACCATTTTGGTATAACTAACGAAGCCAACCCACATATATAAGTTGCAGTGAAACTTAAAGAAACTAAGATATATGTTATAGTATTAGGCATTTTTATTTTCAACAAAAGAGAGGCATATTGTATGCTCATATATTTTCGTATTTATTAATTAAATTTGGTAAGCAAAAGTATCAGATTACGTCATTTCCCGGGGGCAGAAATTACTGATCACGTGGTGAAGATTAGGGGTAAAATTGTTTCAAATAATTTATCGGCGCAGTAATATCATATGTTAAATAAGTAATTAAATTTATTATTAGATTCATAGCTAATTACAATTTGCCAATATGAATGATTAGAAAAATTTTCATAACCATACGATTATACAAAGTTGCAATAATAGTTTAAGTTAGTAAGATACCTAAGTGAATAGATACCTTTTTTAATCATTACGACTGTTTCTGTTAAAATTAGAATTTTTTAATATTTATTCACAAATTACCATGTAATATTTATGATAACATATGTTACCTATATAAAGCTTCCTGTTGCACTTGCATTTCATCAATCTCTGGCGCAAGTTCAGCAAGTATTTCATGTGCTTCTTTATAAAACGCCAATTGAGCGTTCACCAATTCTGCAAGGTTTCGAAGAGGTTCTGGCTGAAATTTTAATGAAAATGTCATTAAGATTTTCAAATGATCGAAGGATATAAATAATTATCTTCAAATACCGTTTCAAGTACAGATTTCATTAATGTGGTCGCTTCCTCAACAGCCGCTACAAACTGATCTTCTGCTTGTTCAACTTCTAATCTTGCAGCTTCCGATCTTTCCCCACGAATTGACTTATATCTTCTCTTAGCACTATCTAGCGCCAACCGCGTTGAATTAACATTTCTTCTTGCCCTCATAGCAAATTGAATACTAGTATTAAGTGTTATATTGAATGGTTGAACAAATTTCTGAGTAATCTCGGAATCCATCTTGATTCTATGGTCTCCAATACGTTCTTGTACAGTCGCGTATTTATTCAATGCAGCCCCGAAAGGATCTTCTGTACCTAATAACTCGGCACCTTGTGTACAAGAGCGCGCTAAAGCGTGATGATAAGTTTTTGGCTGTGGCGGTGCCGAAGTTTCTGTATCCCGTGATTCTACAGGACTTTGAGTTAAATTTTTAATTTGATCACCAACGCTACGTGAAAGCACTTTTACAGTTTCTTGAATTTGTCCAGGATAGTCATACGATGAATTCGTGTGAATTCGAGTAATTTTGAGTATATTTTCATGAACTGTTCGAAGAGCATCAACGCGCTTTCAGTTCGCATGAGTTATTAAGTCAAATGCAGAGATTCAATGTTAAAAATTGACATTGTGATATTGAACAAGCTAGCTTAAACAATCTGTTGAGATATTAACCAACTCAAGTTCTTTGTACTCTTGGGGTAGATCAGTTATATCTTCCGCAGTTCCAAGTTTCTCCGATGCAAGCTACAAAAGGTAATTTTATAGATGAAAAAGATATATGTAAGTACTTTCAACACCAAAACTAAGTTCTCAAACCTGAAATGCTTGACTGATATTTTTAGTAAATGCTCGAGAAATGTTGTTCATTTCAATTCAGCCTGTGTTTAATTTACTAGTAAAAGCTTTATTTTGTAAATATAAATACGAGTACGTATGTTAAAAAGTCAGACAATAATTAAAATTTTTGTTTCCAATCCTGGCCGAATTCCGTAGTGCTATACTGCTATATTATATAACATATATGTAATGGCGAAAAAAATCGTTCAGGGGGTGATTTGATGATCTATACATTATATAAAAATACCTAACCCACATTAATTTAATTTGTTCAAAAATGTCGACAAGCTCAATAATTTCTCCACGAAAATTAATCGAGTTTACATTCATATTGTTAAATTCTCCTAAATTAATTCATTTGAAAAACTTTATATTTATTATAGTATTATATCGCTATGGTTCTATTATATTAAATAAAATTGCCGTTCAAGGACTACGTCGCACCTGTATAGATTTTTATCTTGTTATTGGTGGTGCAGTCTTTAAGTTAATAATAAGTACACCTGGGGCAAAAGGCAAAATTCAAGCTGAACTTGATAAAACAATAAAAGAGTTAGAAGAAAAAATTGCCCCAAAAGAACCGGGTGTACCAAGATATCTTTCATTACCTGATGTTGGTTTTAGTGATACTCGAATAAGAGAAGAAATGAAAAGGTAATTATTCAATTCGTCCATCGTCATTAAATATCAAATTGCAATTCTTGATTGAATCAATTTTTAAGATATCAGGATATGAATAGTAATGTAAAATGGGAGGATGGTCGGGTATCTGGTGCGGTATATCATGGAGGCAAAGATCATTCAAAAATACTTAATGAAGCATATTCAGCATTCTCTGTAAGTAATCCTTTGCATCCTGACGTATTTCCTGGTATAAGAAAAATGGATGCTGAAATTGTCGCGATGGTACTTGACATGTATCACGCACCAAATAGTGCAGGAGGAACTACAACTTCAGGAGGTACTGAAAGTATCTTGATGGCATGTAAAGCATATCGCGACTGGGCAAGAAATGAGAAAGGAATTACTGAACCTGAAATGTAAGTTCTAAGTTTCTCAAGATTTTAATGATCAACAACTTTTAACTATTTCACATGTATAACGATAGGGTTGTACCGGAAACTATACACGCAGCATTCGATAAGGCAGCTGGTTATTTTGGAATTAAAATTATAAAAATTCCAATTGATCCTAGCGATTATCGTGTCGATACCAAAGCTGTTAACAGAGCAATTAATAAAAATACGGTTATGGTAATCATTTATTATAAACAATATTTTGCTAAATTAAAAAATCTTCCTAAGAATTTGATTTCGATAGATTGCAGGCTCAGCACCTAATTTCCCACATGGAATAATTGACGACATCCCTACATTAGCAGCAATTGCCAAAAAACATAACATAGGTATGCATGTTGATTGTTGCTTGGGTAGTTTTTTGGTGCCATTTTTGGAAGAAGCGGGATTTCCTGCTCAACCTTTTGATTTCAGAATCGATGGAGTAACTTCAATATCGTGTGACACGCACAAGGTATAGCATTTTTTTAAGAAAATTTTTTTATTGTAACACCAATTCTAATTTCAAACGTTGTCGCGTAGTATGGATTTGCGCCAAAAGGTTCTTCAGTGATCATGTATCGTACAAAAAGCCTTCGCAAATATCAATATTTTTTTTGTCCAGATTGGACGGGAGGAATTTATGCATCACCTACAATTGCCGGATCACGGTAATTTCAATGAAGTGGCTGATACGCGAATCGTATAATATTACTAATATATCTCTTCTTGGATATAGCCCTGGTGCGTTAATTGCCGGATGTTGGGCATCTTTAATGAGAATGGGAAGAAATGGTTATATTGATGCCACAAAAAAGATTGTAGGATGTGCGAAGACAATTGAAGCTGGGTGAGTTAGAAATAAATTCGTTTTCCTTTAAAAAAAAGTAAACTTTATATTTACTATGTTTTATGTCTTATTAAGAATCAGTCAAATGGATGATCTATTTGTATATGGAAAACCACTCGTATCGGTAGTGGCTTTCGGTTCAAAGACACCTAAGACACTAAATGTTTATGACATTAGTGATAAAATGTCCGCCAAAGGATGGAATTTAAATTCATTGCAAAATCCACCAGCGGTTCACATTGCATGTACTTTGCTTACAGTAGATCATGCCGACCAATTTTTGCAGGACCTTAGAGATTCTATTAATGAGGTCAAGTCTGATCCGAACAGAAAATCATCTGAAACTGCTGCTATTTATGGATTGGCGGCTAGTATACCGGACAAGTCGATCGTAAATGAGGTTGCTTGTGGATTTTTAGATGCATTATATTCCGCATGATTTCGATTAGCTCGAAAGCACTTCCGATTGAGTTCATTATTATCAATTTACTTTGTTCAATTCTTTTCGTAAAAAAAAAAAATTTTACATGTGATTTTACGTTTAATATATAAACAAAATAAAATAGTACCACTTTTAAGCAAATGTTGATCATACTTTAATCGCATAATAACCGGGAAATATTAAACTAAATTAAGTTACATTCACATTTTGGTGAATCATTTAATAATAATCTGTTTGATCCTTATCAAAAAGTATGATTGTTTATCTTAGCAATCTTTTTTAAACATAATTTTTTCTGTGCTTCCCTTGTTGCTAATTATTTTTCTCTCTTGTAACAATATTCTACGAGAATCATATAAAGCCAAAATTAAATAGAGACAGAAACGATGTTTATTATTAGTACTGTTATGAAACTTTTTAGGTTTTCGTTCGCAATCATGGCACTTTTAGTGATTGCAATAAACCGCTGGATGGCTTTTGCAGTTCAATTATCAATGATGTACTTTATTCCTTTTATTTCCTAACATAAGTTTATTGTTTATTAAAAAAGAAAAATTGCTAAATTTTCAAAATTTCGTTCCAGGTTTTGTATATGGAATTCACTCTTAGTGGTAATCGGAATTGTTTCAACGATTCAAACAACAGTGGGATTTTGTTTTGATGTGATGAAATTAACATCAGGAAGTAAACCTTTATTAAGTTCAAAATCTTCAGCGACATTAAAAGATAAAAATCGAGGACCACAAGGATATTGGCAAAGTAGAAGAAAAACATATCAAGAAATGATAGATAAATTATATGTTAAATACATGGAAAAGTTAATTGGAGTACAACAACAACAATCCCAATGTTGGAATTGGGATTCTCAATATATTTATCCTCAATCAAGATATCAAAATAGAAATGGAAGCGGGGGAGGGGATGTTTATGTTGAAGATGGTAGAAATAACGTTGAATATTATCAATATAATAATATGAATGGTTATGGTTATGGTTATGATGATGAATTCTTGATGGACAATGGTGAAGGTTCAAGCGATAGAAATTATGAAACAAATTCTGATGGAATTAGTGAAGAAAGTTCTTTTACACACGATATGAAAATTACTGAAGATACTGCTTCGATCATAGAATAATAGTTGTAATTTAAAGCGTTCCTTTTTTTTCGTTATTGTCATTAACACAACTTAAGAGCTGTGCTTTTTATTTGTGTTTATTTATTTTATTATTTCAATTTTGTCAGAATTCTTTACTTGGAGAAAGCAGAGATTTTTGACCTTTTTCTGTATTTTTATTAATAATACAAAAAGAAAAAATAGAACTTATTTTTATAAAATATGCCAATTTATTTTGTTTAATCCCTAGAAGGAAATCAAATAAAAAAATCTCATTCTTTATAATCTTGCCTTACATATGTCTGGATTCTAGATTTAGACTAAAGCAATGTTAAAACTACCAACGTGATGCAAATTCTAAATGCGAAAAAAATTTATCGCGACATACATATTTATTAAAAAGTAATCATCACGGGAGGTCGAAGTGATTTTTAACAGGCAACAGTTTCCGTATCTAAATGATCGTTAGAAAATAATACAAGACGATCGAAAGATTATTTTTTATTAAAAATATCATATTTTATTAATTATAATCGAGCCTCACCACTCGATCGTGGAACTCCAAGTTCCAACAATTTTCCAAATGCCGCAGCGAAATCATTAAAGAATGTTTCTTTATCATTAGCATATTCCTCAACAATTTTTCTGAATTCCGGATCCGTGCGAAATGCCATATCAGCTGGAAGCATCATAATTCTATCATTTTCATCTTTAAATTGTTTTATCCCGTTATCTAATTCTTTTGTAGACCAATTCTTCTTTAATAATTGAACATAACTAAAAAAAAATTGGATTATTTAAATATTAAAGATATTTTAATAGACCAAAATAAATCGATTTGTCTTTTGTCTAATACTTACAATTGATTATTAAATTTTGTCGGAGTTAAGGTCCAAGCACCTTCATATCCTGAGCGATCTTTGTGACATCGACCGAGACAATGAGCTCCAATGAGAGCAACTATCTCACTAAAATTTTTCAAATTGAAGATTCAGCAACTGTTTTATTATCCATAAATTATCAAAATTGTAAATACTAACCGATCGTTGAATCCCATACGATAGAAAACATCTCGAACATGTTGTTCGCCTTCTTCGGCATTTGGAAGACGACCGTTGGGTGGAACTAAACTTTCATCGGTGGCATCAACACGACCAGATTTCCATGGAACAGTTGGTCCACCTAATTCCTTAATAGCAACAACACCGGCAAGAGTCCAAAGATCGGCATCTGATGCAAAAAAAATCATTTTTTCTTAATGAAAAACCTCGCGGAGGGGTTCGTCAATTAATCATATCCATAATGGTTGCTAGAACAACGAAAACTTACAAGAAATCCAAGGATGGTTTTCCTTTACTGGTTCTAAACAATCTCGTGCAATATTCAAACCGTTATTAGCAGCATCAGAACTTTCAAGAGAAAACCTCATTGTAGCTCCATTAGAACCACCGGTTTTTGTGTTCTTATCATAAGTTCCAGAAGCGTGCCATGCTAAACGTACAAAAATTGGACCAAGTCCATCTTTAGACAAATCTTTATTGGGAATAAGTTGTTTAATATCTTCACGTACAGCATCGTAATCTCCTGAAGTTGACATGATTAAAGCGTTTTTTTTTTGTTAAAATGAGGGGAATAAAAAATGTTTCAATTTATAATGAATTTTTGAACTCCATGTGATGATGTGATGAAATATAAATAGAACATATTGTGTGAATAATTTAGATCGTCAAAATTGGAAATATTAAAAAAATATGTATAAAAATGCTTATCTCAATAACGGGAAAGATTAAAATCGTTTTTTTTTTATCTCTTAAGAAAGACAAATGGCTTATGTACATCATATATATTTGGCACTTCTTGTCTTTGTATTGGAATGCTTAAAACGGTTATTGTTGTGTTAATTTCGATGATTTTTTTTTGTTTCATGTGATCAAACATCAAATAAATTGAATTGATCGTCGAAAAATAACAACGAAATGTCAAAATTTTTTTTGTTAGATTTTCAAAAGGACCAGGTTCTGGTCACAGAGTCGATCCCCATTTATAAATGCATACTACTTGTTTTTGTAGTTCTGGACTCGGACAATAATAATAATAATCTTATTTTGATTGTGATATCGGATAATCCGATACACAGATTCCTTGATGGATGTGATGACGTCATATTTCCGTTAAAATTTAGAGATCTTGTCATACCTACTACGTATTGGCAAAATCTAACTCGCTAATTGGCCGAAAATCATGTTCCTTTTTTGGGTGTTATTATCTCTTTATAGCAAGATCTTCAAAATATTTTTTACTTATAATATTTCACATCTGCGAAATACCAAACAGATTTATACGCCCACGAAGTCAAATAACTGATCTGATTTTTATAATCTCCATTCGATTCATTATAAAAGGGGAAGAAATTTGCTGTTGAACAATTTAACAATTTTAAAGTGTCAATTGTAGGTTATTTAAATCACAAATCATATATATTGTAAATTGAAACTTATTCGTATTTCCGCAGTAAAATGTCACCAAGAGGTAATGTTAAAGCTCATATTACAGATTGGTTAAAAGGTTTACCAGCATTAAAGAATCCCGGTATTTTGAATTCAAATGTGAAGCCAACATTACCAAGATCGATGATTCTACCACAAATACATTATCCGAAATATGAGGAAATAGAAGATCCAAATATGATTAAAGCTCATGTTCCTGACCTCATTAGACCATATAAAGGACTAAAAGATGTATTAGAAAACAATCGAAAATGGGCAAATGCAGATTCTTTACGTGAAATAAAGTTTTTTGAAACTTTAAATAAAGGGCAAGAACCAAAATTGTTTTGGATCGGTAAGATGTTATTAGAAGGTTTATAATTTCTCTTTATCCCAACTTCTAACTTTCTCTATATCAATTTTAGGTTGTTCTGATTCTCGCGTTGTACCTGAAACAATCACTCAGTTAGGTTTTGGTCAAATATTTGTACATCGGAACATTGCGAATCAATTCGATGCAAATGATTTTAATTGTATGTCAGAATTAGAATTTGCCGTACATTATATAAAAGTTGAACATATAATTGTGTGTGGTAAGTTAATATCTTCAAGGTATACAAGAAAACATCAAAATCTAATGAATTTTTCTCTACTACAGGTCACACACAATGTGCAGGAGTAATGAATGCTTGTAAAGATCATCTTAGCCCAAATTTAAAAGCTTGGCTATCGGATATTCGAAGAGTGAAAGATAAATACCCAGAGTTATTTCCGGATCCCATGATTGAATCCAGTATGCCCCAAAGTGAAAAAGATAAATTACATAGAAGGTTGGTTGAAATTAATGTATCAAATCAAGTATCAAAGATTGCTTCAAATGAAGTTGTCCAAGAAGCTTGGAAAGATAAAAAAAGAAAATTAGCAATTCATGGTTGGGTTTTTAATATAAAGAAAGGACATTTAGAAGATATAGGTGTTACCATTGGAAAGCAATGATTTGCGCATGGAATGGAAATAATTATCTATTATATTATCATAGAGCTTAGAAATAATTTTATCAATATCATAAAGATTGTGAATATTATAATTTAATGATAAATATGATTAAATCAATTAATTATATTAATCGTATTTGATGGATAAATTATGTTTTATATGAAAAACTTTAATAAATGGGTGTTTGAATGTTAAATATTATGAATAGAGTAAATAAATGTATTAAATATCTCCGAGTTTATTCCAGCACTAACTACCCCAACGGCACAGTAATTCTTTGTCATAATCATAAATAATTTGTCATTTGATCATTTGTCATTAGTTATTCCATGGTATCAATGAATAACCGAAATATTCACGAGGGGAGCATCAGTGTATATGGAGCATTTATTAGATATCCTTGGAATAACAGGCTTATCTCATTGTGTATAACGTATACTTTGATGGATTTTATATTTTTTTATACTTTTTTTATACTTTATTATACCGGTGCAAGCAATTTACAAAAAAATCCATTGCTGTATACATAATGAATAATAAAGGATTATTGGACAATTCCTAATTACAGAATCACATAATTTGTGAAAAAAAACATTCAAAATACTAGTCAAAATTTGGAATCAATAATTTTTTTTTTTTATTGAATCATTTCTGAATTGCATGAAGTGATAATGAAAATAAAAAATTTAAATCAATTTAAGGACATTATATGCAAAAATAATTAAATGTGAGTAGTTGAAAAATGGAATCAAAAAGGTGCTGCATTTATTTTTTTTAAAGGCATTTTTTCTATATAGCATAATATTTTGATTTTTAGTTTATAATTAGGAAATTGCTAAGTATTATTAGATATCATAAATTTTTTTTTTTATAATTTATACAGTATTTTTATATGCAATTTTGTGAAACAAAAAAAGATTTTCTAAATTCAAAAAGATTTTTACTTAGATAATTTTTAAAAAAAATGCCAGTGATTTGATTTTTACATATAAATTTTAAGTTTTAGGATTTTATTCTAAAATTAACTAAAATGCAAACTTATTAAATAATAGATAATTATATTTTAATGCATATGCGTTATAATACTAGTACCACAATTTCATGTAATCTAATATCATAATAATTATTATTATATTATTTAAAATCATTATCAGTGATGTAATCATATTTATCAATAGTTTCTTCCAGATGTCCTTGTTTTCAAATTATAAAATTAATCTACTAATAAAATGTTTGATGAAAATATTATTTTTCTGAAGAAAATTTATTAACCTATCCTTTCAATGAAATTACAAATTCTGATCTGTTTAGTGACAAGATTTTTTCATCTTGGGAAGAATATGGCTCATTTTTTGATAATTGGTCTACTTTCATATAAAAAAAGATTGTGTATTATATGAAGATAAAAGGCAATATCTGACATCAAACATATTTATGTATTTATGATGGTTTATATGAGTTAAAATCTAAAAAAAATATTTCACAAAAAAAACAAAATATCCATTTTTAATCAATGTTTCATGTTCTAAATAAAAGCAAAAATCTGAATTTAAATATTATTATTAATAAACTTATAAATGAACATAATTATTCTTTAAGTGTAGAAATGATAACTTTTAAAGAACAAAAAAAATTTACAACTGAAATGATAAATGACATCAAGTTTTTAACATCTCATTGTAAATTTAGCATAACAGCTCAAAGAAAATTCTTGGAAGAAAAATATCCTTTACAACTAATATATTCTAAAGATTTATATGCAACTATTCAGAAATTTTATCTAACTTTTAAATCACTATTAAATGATACCACTTTGATGTCCAATTGGTTGGACCATCAAAAAAAATGTAATTCATGCTGAATAATTATTAGAAGATGGGATAATAATAATATACTTATCAAATTATTATAGATAACTCTCAAATAAGTTGATAATTGAATATAATTTTTGGACTGTATATTAAATGATATTACATATAAAACAACCACTATGGTATAGCATTATTATTATTTGTAAAATTCAATTATTATTAAAATAATATTCTTAATGGGGATGGCCAGAAATTACGTAATTTGATTTTTGAGTTTTTTACCCCCCCTCCCCCCCTCTGTCATCATTTCCAAATAAAGAAATCATACAATCACGTGATATGTTAAAAAGGTTTGACGACGTAAATATTTATCTCTCTTATTTATTTTATTGAACGCGTATATTTTATAAATTTAACAGTTTAAATAATGAATTTTATATTTCTGTTTCATAAATTCAATGTATTTTATTTATCATTAAGCATCTGTAATACATGATAATTAAATGTAAAATTTCCTTATTTCTAAAGTTTTACTATTGAATTAATTATGTTTGTAATTTCGTGGCCTACCTCTACCTCTTTTTGTTGTCTTTTCTTTTTAAAGTTCCTGTGAAGTATTATCATTTGAATTCTCGTTCTCATCATCTTGTGTACTTTCTGCATTATATTCATAATCCTGTTGCAAATATTTGGATGCTTCAATAACAACATTTATTGCTACTCTTTCTACTGGTACCCTTTCACCTGAATGAATTGTTTTAGTGTGTTGCTTTAGAAATGCTTTGGATGGGAAATATCTAAAGTATTTTCGACATGTTAAACTGTGATATAAATCTGAAGTGATGCTAGGACAGTGCTCATCATAGCCCGGCAATTTTTCTCCAAAATACTCCAGAGTATGGATTAAATTTAAAAAATGTCCATCATGACCTCGTATAACGGGTGGTAAAAAGCCATTGTTTGCGGATAAAAGATTATGTATCTCCGGTGCACGTGGTTGTGCACAACAGTTTCGGTCTTTGCACTTCCTTATATCAAGAGAATACTTACAAATTTGTGCATGCCGATCAATCCAATCCCACGATTCCTTTTCTATATCTAAAAAATCTGCCCGATCATGATCCTCAACGTATGTGGTAATAACTGGATGCCCATTGATATTATCCCTGCTCCAAAGTTCGCATAAACTTTCACCTGCATGTCTAAAATTATTACGTCCGAGATTCCTATCCGTAATTGTAATTTTTCCTTCAACACTTCCAAGATGGTTACCATACGTAAATGCATTTAACTCAACTCCAGCTAATTTTCCAGAAAGTGACGCCATACTCCTCTCTACTGGATTATAAGCTGACTGCCCTGGAGCATGTGTTCTGACCGTAAGATAATCAAGATCAAGTTTCTTAAAAAGTAATAGATATTTTGTGATGTTGGCAAGGAATCGAGGGTTTTCGTCCTGTCCACCATCAGTTAATAAGTACCAAAATGGTTTTACAGTATCTCCATTATGTGTAAACTCACGAAAATTTTCTTCTTTTGTTATTGACATGAGATCCACCATATGAGTTTCGCAAGTCGTGCTTAAGAAATATTCTGGGCGAATAAAAATTCGCACTTTACCAGAGCGTAATGAATCGTTCGTATCTGAAGGATTTATCAACAGATAGACAGATGGAACTAATTTGTGCTTTGCGGCTTTAGGAAAGTCATGATCAGGAACGGATACCGGCTCATTCGTTGTTTGTATGGTCTTGAATGTCCTTCCAACAGCAGCCATTCCAAGTGGAACCTATCGAAACTTAAATTAGAATTTAAAATAATAAAATTAAAAGAGAAAATTTAAAAAAATATTTAAATACCTTAGCTTTATCATCTTGCGAAATTATTAAAACGTCTTGAGGAAAAGCCGTTGCAAACGACTTCACGCCTTTGACTGATGCCAGGCAGTAATGTTCGTCAACATGGCTATTCATTTCGTCTCTTCTAACAGCTGCAAAACGAATCTGCGCGGGATGATGATGGCGCTGTGCCTCTTTCGATCCTGGATGTTTGGGTTGCATATAATTTTGCAACGTGGATTTAGCCATATAAATACCATAATCTTCGTCCATTTTTTCGCGAAAGTGCTTGATTGTACGCACTTTAATTATTTCTTTGTGTCGTTTATAATCTGCTGCTCCAAATTCAACACTCGCATGCATTTTTTCCAAAAGATCAGGATTTTTAATTAAAAATGACTGACGACCTGGTGTATCATACACTTCCACAATGTTTTCCTCTATATTTTCCTTCTTTTTCTTTCGTACTCGTTGCTGAGCTGCTGCATTGTTCCTCAACTTTTTAAGTCTATTTTCTTCTATTAATATTGTTTCCTCCAGCTTTTTAATACTTGAGACGAATTGGGAACGAAGTTCGTGTGATGATGCTGTTCGTAATAGATTGTTGTATTCATACAAGTCAACTTTAGACTTTTGAATAATATCAAGCGATTTTTTTTGTGCTGTTGCATTTGACGAAGGTTGAATATTATCAAATAGTTCGGGAGGATTCTCTAAAGGTATTAAGGGTCGTTTTTGAGATTCTTTTTGAGATTCACTTTGAGATTCTCCTACAGGTTCGTAAAAAGTGAAAGGGTAAGATCGAATGGGTGTACGTAGTAATTCAAAGATACGATTTTGAATATTTTCTTTATCTTCCTTTTTCACTTCTCGCCAACTATCTTGAGCTTGTTGGTGTAGTACTTTCTTGTTTGGTGTTTTATTGTGACTTTTTACCATTTCGCTGAATGCAAAGGCATTCACATATTGTTCATATAAATTTTTAGGACTTTGGATAAGGTAATTTTTGGAGTATTTCGGTTCTTTAAAATACGTTTGCTTCATTGCAGGAAAAGAACAAACGTATTAAATCTTGCAAAGGCCGCATAGTTCACAATCTACATTTAATAATTATGTAAAATAATTATGTAAAGTTATTATGTAAAGAAAAATATTTCAAAGCATATGCTTTTTTTACTGTGAGAATATAATTGATGATTCATATACTAAAAATGGAAAATCAAAATCGTGTGTAACGTCATCACAGGTTGACCCCCTCCCCCCTTTATTAAATTACGTAATTTCTGGCCATCCCCTTTTTGTTCAAGCCCTGAAAGTATGGAATTACACCTTTGGGTTTTTCATGAAATATTAAAGGCAACAGAAAGGCAATCATCAGTAATAATG